AGTAAAGGTCACAGAACTAGCGTGTGTTTGAGAGGATTGTTACCCAGTAAAGGTTACAGAACTAGCGTGTGTTTGAGAGGATTGTTACCCAGTAAAGGTCAGAGAACTAGCGTGTGTTTGAGAGGATTGTTACCCAGTAAAGGTCACAGAACTAGCGTGTGTTTGAGAGGATTGTTACCCAGTAAAGGTCAGAGAACTAGCGTGTGTTTGAGAGGATTGTTACCCAGTAAAGGTCACAGAACTAGCGTGTGTTTGAGAGGATTGTTACCCAGTAAAGGTCACAGAACTAGCGTGTGTTTGAGAGGATTGTTACCCAGTAAAGGTCACAGAACTAGCGTGTGTTTGAGAGGATTGTTACCCAGTAAAGGTCACAGAACTAGCGTGTGTTTGAGAGGATTGTTACCCAGTAAAGGTCACAGAACTAGCGTGTGTTTGAGAGGATTGTTACCCAGTAAAGGTCACAGAACTAGCGTGTGTTTGAGAGGATTGTTACCCAGTAAAGGTCACAGAACTAGCGTGTGTTTGAGAGGATTGTTACCCAGTAAAGGTCACAGAACTAGCGTGTGTTTGAGAGGATTGTTACCCAGTAAAGGTCACAGAACTAGCGTGTGTTTGAGAGGATTGTTACCCAGTAAAGGTCACAGAACTAGCGTGTGTTTGAGAGGATTGTTACCCAGTAGAGGTCACAGAACTAGCGTGTGTTTGAGAGGATTGTTACCCAGTAAAGGTCACAGAACTAGCGTGTGTTTGAGAGGATTGTTACCCAGTAAAGGTCACAGAACTAGCGTGTGTTTGAGAGGATTGTTACCCAGTAAAGGTCACAGAACTAGCGTGTGTTTGAGAGGATTGTTACCCAGTAAAGGTCACAGAACTAGCGTGTGTTTGAGAGGATTGTTACCCAGTAAAGGTCACAGAACTAGCGTGTGTTTGAGAGGATTGTTACCCAGTAAAGGTCACAGAACTAGCGTGTGTTTGAGAGGATTGTTACCCCGTAAAGGTCACAGAACTAGCGTGTGTTTGAGAGGATTGTTACCCAGTAAAGGTCACAGAACTAGCGTGTGTTTGAGAGGATTGTTACCCAGTAAAGGTTACAGAACTAGCGTGTGTTTGAGAGGATTGTTACCCCGTAAAGGTCACAGAACTAGCGTGTGTTTGAGAGGATTGTTACCCAGTAAAGGTCACAGAACTAGCGTGTGTTTGAGAGGATTGTTACCCAGTAAAGGTTACAGAACTAGCGTGTGTTTGAGAGGATTGTTACCCAGTAAAGGTCACAGAACTAGCGTGTGTTTGAGAGGATTGTTACCCAGTAAAGGTTACAGAACTAGCGTGTGTTTGAGAGGATTGTTACCCAGTAAAGGTTACAGAACTAGCGTGTGTTTGAGAGGATTGTTACCCAGTAAAGGTCACAGAACTAGCGTGTGTTTGAGAGGATTGTTACCCAGTAAAGGTCACAGAACTAGCGTGTGTTTGAGAGGATTGTTACCCCGTAAAGGTCACAGAACTAGCGTGTGTTTGAGAGGATTGTTACCCAGTAAAGGTCACAGAACTAGCGTGTGTTTGAGAGGATTGTTACCCAGTAAAGGTCACAGAACTAGCGTGTGTTTGAGAGGATTGTTACCCAGTAAAGGTCACAGAACTAGCGTGTGTTTGAGAGGATTGTTACCCAGTAAAGGTCACAGAACTAGCGTGTGTTTGAGAGGATTGTTACCCAGTAAAGGTCACAGAACTAGCATGTGTTTGAGAGGATTGTTACCCAGTAAAGGTCACAGAACTAGCGTGTGTTTGAGAGGATTGTTACCCAGTAAAGGTCACAGAACTAGCGTGTGTTTGAGAGGATTGTTACCCAGTAAAGGTCACAGAACTAGCGTGTGTTTGAGAGGATTGTTACCCAGTAAAGGTCACAGAACTAGCGTGTGTTTGAGAGGATTGTTACCCAGTAAAGGTCACAGAACTAGCATGTGTTTGAGAGGATTGTTACCCAGTAAAGGTCACAGAACTAGCGTGTGTTTGAGAGGATTGTTACCCAGTAAAGGTCACAGAACTAGCGTGTGTTTGAGAGGATTGTTACCCAGTAAAGGTCACAGAACTAGCGTGTGTTTGAGAGGATTGTTACCCCGTAATACTTGGGTGGAGCGTTGTAGCGGTAGTGGCTCTTTCCCAGTTCCAGCGCCAGAGTCTGCAACCGCTCCAGCTGATCGAGTCTCGCTACACTCTTCTCGATGAATGACATCACTCTGCAGAACAACACAAGACAAGTCAAGTCACCTTTATTTATTTTGACTCCCCACAAACGAAAATATCTGGTTTGTTATTAATTCATTTGTTTTCCTAAGCAACTTTTCAGACTGCAGGGCTCCAGACTAACTTTTCCACTGGTTGCACTGGTGCTACCAACTTTCTCAGTTGGTCGCACCAGCATATGATTTGGTCGCACCTTTTTTTCTTCTTTTTTTTTGCTACATGCCATGGGATTAATCAATGCATGCTGATGAATAGTGGTTTTAATGGACCAAGGCTAGCAAAGGCTTTCTGGGTTGCAGCATAAATACCTGTAATATATTAATTATCATTGCCAAATTTCAGGATTTTTATGGATTTTGGACAGTAATTTTAAGCTGTAATTTTAAGCATTTTACATTTGAATTATATACAATCTATCTATTTACATTTGAATCATATTCTATCTATCTATCTATCTATCTATCTATCTATCTATCTATCTATCTATCTATCTGTCTATTATCATCTTTCTATCTTTTAAAAATCATTAAACATTCAAATGTATGCATTACATTTTAAAAGATTAGAGTATTATAATAAACTGATAGATTTTTCGTTATCAAAGTTTATAGTTGTAACAAAAAGCAGAAATCTCACACTCCTTACCTTCTGCATTTTATAATAATTTCCTTTTCCTCTGTCGAGCGATCATGAGAGTAATCGCTCGACAGAGGAAAATATAACCGCTGAAAAGACGTAGGAGGAAGGGGCTCTGTGTTTCGTGAGACCATTTTTATCATTTTTATATGCCTTCATTTGTGAATTCGTAATTGGCGCGTTTCACCATCAGTGAACATCAGTTGACACACCGTCAATAAATAAACTGCACGTGTCTTGCGGAAGAACATTGTAGACGGAACTTCTCTCCGTTAATGTCTATGGCGAGTCACGCAGGCACTGGGCTACTCCGCAGCCGAGACGACCCCGGGATAAAATAGTCAGAATATAAACACTTATTATAGGCGTACCGTAGTGATTCAGAATAAGTCAAAAACATGGTTTGGAAAATGGATTCATGATGTAGCCTACTCGTTCATTTTGAACATAAGTTACGGACTGCAGCAGCTGATACAACGGCGTTCTGTTGCTCAAGCGTCCACTCGCACAAATGCGACCACATAACATTTTAACTCGCACATTCTCAAAAAATGGTCGCATATGCGACCAATTTGGTCGCAGTCTGGAACCCTGGACAGTAAACCTGTCTTCTTAAAAGAAATGGAAAATTATTTAAAGGTGCCCTAGAATGTTTTTTTTTATTATTTTATAATGTTTCCTGGGTTACCCTTATAATGTTAGTATGTTTTTTAGATAAAAAATAATCATAATTTAGAAATAAATGGCATTTTTCCTTGCCTGCTTTTAGCCTCTGATTTGAACACTCTGTTTGAAGGGGCGTGTCTGCTGTGGGATTCAGTGTAACCGCGCCCACTGCTGTGATTGGCTGCTGTGGATTCAGTGTAACCGCGGCCACTGCTGTGATTGGCTGCTGTGGATTCAGTGTAACCGCGCCCACTGCTGTGATTGGCTGCTGTGGGATTCAGTGTAACCGCGGCCACTGCTGTGATTGGCTGCTGTGGATTCAGTGTAACCGCGGCCACTGCTGTGATTGGCTGCTGTGGATTCAGTGTAACCGCGGCCACTGCTGTGATTGGCTGCTGTGGATTCAGTGTAACCGCGGCCACTGCTGTGATTGGCTGCTGTGGATTCAGTGTAACCGCGGCCACTGCTGCGATTGGCTGCTGTGGATTCAGTGTAACCGCGGCCACTGCTGTGATTGGCTGCTGTGGATTCAGTGTAACCGCGGCCACTGCTGTGATTGGCTGACATGCTTGCATATGAAATAGCTACGCATTACATGTGAAACTCTCTCCCGAATACTTTTACTACTGCTATTATACGTTTTTACTATAACAGCTATCGAGATTAACGAATCGTGAGATGTTTTTAAAGTATTTAGATCTATTCCCATCACATAAAATGTTGCCGTGATGAGCATTGAGCAGATGACAGTGTTGATCGCGAGAATATCATTGCAAAGCAGTTTCTGCACTCTCTCTAATGCTTTCACCAATGCAAACACGATGATGTAAATACAGTAAGAGCTTCGTTGTGCAGTAACGTGCGTCATTGATTTCATAACGAGTTTGGCAAGTGTCCAGATAAACTCGCGCTGTGTGGAAAGATTGTTCTTTGATCGCTTTCTGTATAGAATTTGTTCACAATTTAAATACGATTATTTTCATCCTACTAAAAGAAACGATGTGAAGCTGATATTTTAGTCACTGGCTTGACTTACTGATGCATAAACAGTATTGAACGATTTTGAGAGAAAGATTACCTGTCTGAACTTGAACAATTACACATCAGAAAGTGTTGCTTGGTAGCTCGATCCGAGGCCAGCTCTGTATTGGCCCAAGTTGAGGAAACACTCGGTGAAATGTTTGGGAATTTCCAGAGAAAATAAAATGAACCCATTGTTTCTTCAGAGGCTCAGATGAAGGAACTAAAAAATACTTTTGTGTTCATGTGTACATCCACACTGAGCAACTGCCATGCTTCGGCTGCGCAGTTCCGCCTGGCATTGAGGGCTGGCATTATGCAAATATTTGGAGGCGTACATATTAATGATCCCGACTATTGCTTCACAGTCGGTATTGTGTGGAGAACCGACCGTTTTTCAGGGGTGTTTTTCATAAACGTGAATTAAATGAGAACGCGAAAACAGTCCAGTTTGAGATTCACTCTATGTCATGTCCATGCACTGAACTCTTGTTATTTGACTATACCAAGGTAAATTCAATTTTGAATTATAGGTCACCTTTAAATGTGATTTCAGTATTTACTAATAAGAAAGATAAAAGGACTGTTAGGATTTGCACTGCCTTGATCTCTTTTTTTCTCTTTGGTATTTTTATTTCTCTTTTTGTTCCTTTTCTTTTTTGCGGTTGTCTCCTTTATTATTGTTGTGGCTGATATTATGTGATGTATGCTTTCTCTTTTGTATGTTCCCGTTCTCTGCAATAAAAATAACTAAATAAAAAAGTCACCTATATTTATATAGCGCTTTTTACAATACTGTTTGTTTCAAAGCAGCTTTACAGAGATAACAGGAAAATAATGCCACAAAAGTTTGTTTCTAGAAGAAAATAGCGTCACAGTCCAGCTTGAGTAAGTTCAGTGATGGTTCATTTTTGTTTTAAAAAAAGTTATTATTTTGGTTCATTTATATATATATATATATAAATATATATATATATATATATATATATATATATATATATATAAATGAGTATATGTGTATAAATATAAGAATATAAAAGTCAAAATCAATTCTGACTTAAAATTAAGTCACAGTTATTCTCATTTTATGTCATAATTATGACTTTTTGAGTCAGAATTATATGAAACATATTTGATGCACAATCTTCTCAACAAGTGTTTGTAGTGCTGTTTATTTGTTTGGTCTAGTGTATCTAGTGATCGCTGTGAATTTATGTCAAGATTATTGACACAATCTTTTTGTTTGACTGAAGGTCCATGATCAGATGAATTTTTACCAAAGAATTATATGAAATATACATTTGATGCAAAGTACAAAAATGGAGCAAAGCAAATGTTTGTCTAGAAGGAAGAATTGATGAGCTGATGATTTTTATGTCATAATTATGATTGTTCTGTCAATTTATACTTTTATGTCATACCTTAATATTTATTGTCATAATTGACTTTTCTGACATAACTGACTTTTTGTCATAATTATAACTTTTGTCACATTTTTTTTATAATTTAGTATTTTGTCATAATAACTATGACATGTCATAATTATGACTTAGTATGTCATAATTTTTACTTTTGTCAATTATTTTTGACATAATGTTTACTTTTGTCATAATTACTTATCATAATTTTGACATTTTAATTTTTACTTTTGTCAAATTTTCAACTTCAATTTCATAATTCTGACTATCATAAATTTGACTGTCATAATTTTGATTTTTTTATCATAATTATGATTCAGTATGTCATAATTTTTACTTTTATGTCATAATTCAAAATTTTTATATTAATGTTTGACTGTCAATTATGAATTGGTCATAATTTGGACCTATGTATCATAATAATTCTGACTTTTAGTGTAATAAATTTGACTATGTGTCATAATTTCAACTTTTAAGATTTACAAAAGCGGGATGTTTTATTTTCCTTTATTTTCCTATTGAAAACGTTCTTCCATACGGCAGAGACACCGGTCACTAATGTAAAGCGTCTGACGTGTGCCATGATAAAGTTGAGTGTGACTCTCAGATTGACAGCTGTCACTCAAACCCTCAGTTCAGACAGCACAGGCCTAATCTGAGCGCTCGTTCTGTTTTCATGCTGTGAAGAGCGATCGGCCCGCGGCCTCATTACACACACACACACACACACACACACACACACACACACACACACACACACGCACACACACGCACACACACGCACACACACGCACACACACGCACACACACGCACACACACACATGCACACGTTTCGCTCAACAGCCTCTCGGCCTTCACAGCAACACCACATTCAATCAGTAATTGGTGTTCGGGGGATTTGAGAGCAAACGCAGTGAATCAGTGTGTGTAGATCAGTGTGTGTGTGTGTGTGTGTGTGTAGAGCTGTCAGATAATAATAGTAAACATCATGTAGTGCCTCTTATCATCTCTAACACTAGAAACATGCTTTATTATAGATTCTGCACATCTCATGTTAATAAATGCACCGTTGTTTAGTACCATGATTATAAACAGCTACAGTTAGACTAGTCTAGTGGATGAGATTATGATCAATAATGCATCATATTTATCGCATTTCTGATGTGTTATCAGCCACTTGAGGCTGAACAATCGGTTTTGTCCATGAAAGACGATAAATAATTGTTGCATTGCATTTAATGTGTCCATTTGCAAAATTCAATCATTCCTGTAATATTTAGTGTTAATGGATTCCACAACCAGATGATGGTATTTTTATATCATTTATCTGATATTTTGTGCATGCTTTGATTTCATTGGGTCATAGTGACAAAAAAGTACACACAGTATGTGATAAACCTGTGCATCATGTTGTCACATGACGCCTGTCAATCAAAGGTCATTGAAAGGGTCACATCTCTCGCTATAATAAAGCACTACTGGCTCTCCATCTTTTGTTTTTCTCTTTCTGTCGCTGTGAGATCCAACATCCCGTTGTGCAAATCCAACAAAAGCTCTTTATATCCCTGTCATGATCTGAACTGTAACGGCTCATTATTATTTCTGCTCTCTAATGAACACGACACACGCGTCGCCCTTCTAATGCCTTTATACATGCATTTATAAAAGCCTGAAGCGATTTCATGAAGCTGTCAGGGAAAATTAGCAGTACAGCTGAAGACACTCAAACCAAAGCACTTACTAGAACGTATTAATACTATAAATTATTATAAATAAAAAAAAGGCTAAAAATTTTTTTGCCTACTAGTTTGTGGATTGTATAGTACTATGAATATTGTTTGCTCAGCAACAAATTGCTTTTGCTGTTCAACATTTATAAGTTGCTTTGCATAAGTCTCTGCTAAATCAATTCAAATTAATTAAATGATAAATTATCTTCATATTTCGTCATTTGTATTTTATATCATGAATCATTACTATTGTATGGAAGCTTGTTTCCGCCACAGAATAAAAAATAAAAAAGGTAATTTTGACTTTTTATCTTACAATTGCGAGTTATAAAGTCAAAATTGCATGATATAAAGTCGCAAATCAAATTGGACTTTATAACTCGCAATCGTGAGATAAAAAGTCGCAATTATCTTTTAAAATGTTTTATTCTGTGGAACAAGATTCTGCGGAAACAAGCTTCTATACTATTGGTCACCCTTTACATCTGTCTGTGGGTTTTTGCAAATATTTAACCAATGAAAAGTTTTAAAAGGGCTTGTGACTAAACCTCGCAGCTCCATTGGCTCCTCAAACTGTCAGTCAAACCTCATAACTCCGCCCACCTCTATTGTGAATGAAGTGCTACACACAGTTTGGAGAGTTTCTGCTTGTTTGCAATGCAATGGTATATAAAGAACTGGGTGTTAGAATAAGTACAGTGTTTTCTTTACTCATGAAACACTATATTATGTATATAAGTTGATGAAACGACTTGGACAGCATCATAGTGTCGCCCCAGATCCGGCCCACATCTGGTACGCGTGAAATCTCCATGACCCAGATGTGGGCCGGATCTGGGCCGACACTGTGTTGCTGTCTGGAGATCTACTGCCGTTCTAATGACGGACAAAACACGTAAATGTTCAACATTCGCTGGTTGAACTCCATTCAAGTTTGATTTTGGTAAAATATTATTAATATAACGACACGTGCTAGTGTCTGACCATATATAAAGCCACTATATCAACGTTGACCACAGTGTTTCATCATTTTCCCATTTACTGAAAAGTAGCATTTTTTGGTCATACAAGGTAAATAAATAAATAAATACAAGTTCTTCTAGTAAGTGCTTTGGTGTGAGTGTCTTCAGCGGTACTGGCAATTATCTCAGATAGGTTGATGATTTTTTTTCCATGATAATTATGACTCAGTATGTCATTAATTTGACTTGTCATAATTATGACTCAATATGTAAATTTTTACTTTGTCATCATTTTTCATATATTTTTAATAAATATGACTCAGTATGTCATAATTTTTACTTTTGTCAATTATTTTCTGTCATCTTTTTTTACTTCTGTACATTTTTACTTTTGTCATAATTTCAACTTTGTATGTCATAATAATTGACTTTCAATTTCATAATTCTGACTTTATCATAAATTTGACTGTCCGAACATTTACTTTTTATAATAATTATGACTTTCTATAATCATTACGTGGTCTCAGTATGTCATATTTTTGACTTGTCATAAAAAGTAAATTATGACAAAAGTAAAAATTATGACATAAAAAGTCAAAATTATCACACATTTTCAATTATTTTTTTTCCCCATAATTTTGAATTGTCATAATTATTTTTTGTCATAATGACTTTCAACTTTGTATGTCATAACAATTTTGACTTTTAATGTCATAATTCCAACTGACTCAGTATGTCAATATTTACTTTCACACAATTATGGACAAAAATCAAAATTATGATAGTGTTTCATCATTTAAAAAATACTGCATTGTTTCCATTTACTGAAAAGTTGCATTTTGGGTCATACACGGTTATATATAAATAAATAAATAAATAAATAAATAAACAGGATTTGTTCTAGTAAGTGCTTTGGTTTGTGTGTCTGTTAATTATCTCTGACAGGTTGATGAAATCAATCCAGGCTTTATAACTATATATATATATATATATATATATATATATATATATATATATATATATATGTATAAAGGCATTAGAAGAGAAGTGCATGTCTCGTGTTCGTTAGTGTTACGGGTGTGGTGCAGGTTGAAGGAGAAGCAGCAGTCAACAGGTCCAATTCAAATATACTTTACTCAATAACAAAACAAGGATCACGAGGGACAGTAACACACCATACACAAACGAGAACCGACAAGGAGTGAGGGAGAACACAGGGTTTACATACACAGAGAACAGATTAGGGAAACAAGGCACAGCTGGGACAAATTAACTAAACACAGGTGAAGGAACTGAACACAAACGAGGAGCGGGAAAACTGGGACACTGGACTGAACCAAAAATACTAAACAGGGGGAAACACAGGACATACATGTAACAGTTACAGAGCAGAAATAATGACCTGATATAAAGAGCTTTTGTTTGATTTGCACATCAGGATGTTGATCTACATCACCCTTGCACTCAAACTCACATCATGAAAAAACATTGCTCGTCTCCTCTAGTTCACTTCCTAATCTAGTCGTCTAATAATCCTGGCACTGTATATTGCACTTATTGTTGGCTCTTTGATAAATTGCCTTTTGTTCCTCGCGTTCTGGATAAAAGCGTCTGCCAAATGCATAAATGTAAATGTAATGCACTATGTTTTGGAAGGATTCTGCCCTTTTAATCTGCTGATATCATATGATGGTCACACACACTGTGTGTAAGCAGATGCAGGGCGAAGTGTGTGAAGTGTGAAGTGTGTGTACTGACCGCAGGCCGTGTGCACGAAGCTCCCTGCTGGTGCGTAACCTCTCCAGATCCTCCACGTCTCGAAAGAGGAAGAAGACGTCTTTACACTCCGGATGCGTCTCAAACAACCTGTTACAGACACAACACACACTCAGCTCTTCAAGCACAAACTCATATTCAAGTAGTTTCCCGAGAGGGAGATCTTTAAAATACTTCCATTCGTCTCAGAGTCGTATCATATAACCAGAAGACCTGCTGAACCGACTCGGCTCACTGCTGGTTTGTATGAATGCTTTGGGCTTTTTAATGCTGGTTTTAACTAAACTGGTCTACGCTGTTTCTCCAGAAGGGAATATATTTGTTGTGTTTTCTTCACTCTGGTTCTTTAGGCATCACATCTATGGAAACTGCATTGCATGAAATTAGAGATGCACAGATATGAACATTTTGGCCGATACCGATAACAGATATATCGGACGATAAATCTAAATCCAAATTTTTATATAGATTTTAAGAGCCTGATTACAAAAACTAAAGTCTCACCATTGAAACCCATGTCCCAAACACACAAATATAAGGTTCTCATTATAATGTTATGTAGCCGATATGACAGACTTGTGTTGCACATGTTGCACTGAACTGTATTTTCCTTTTTTTGAAGTGATTTCAATCATATTTCAAGCTATTTAAAAGCATCATGTTGAACAGTGCGCATCTGAAGAGTCTCAGCTGAAGGAAATACAGTAATTATCAGCTTTAATTAGGGGTGGAACGGTACACAGAAGTCACGGTTCGGTTCATACCTCGGTTCAGACGTCACGGTTCGGTACGATTTCGGTACAATGGAGTGAAAAGCAAAACAAAAAGGCAGAAGGCATTTTTATAAATGTCTTAAGCCTTGTATTTTTTAAATAAGTTTTATTAATAAAGGCATAGAACCAGTTTATTTGTAGTGCACTGACAATAATAAAAAGATGAAAAGACCTTGAGATATGTTTGGTAATTGTACCTGAATGAATTTAAAATTAATTTGCTATTTCAGATCAATATATTTGTTTTCCTTCATTTTAATTAATTAATTTTTAATTAATTGATTCCCGTATAAAATAATACTACCATTAAAAACTTTTGTTAACAGTTGTAGGTTACAGTTCGACAAGAGTTTACAGTGTGACAAAAGCACAATGTTGTGTTTTATTGCGAGTGTACACAAATATAAGTAAACACTTTGCAGTTTTAATGATGTCCTGTATGAAAAAAATGACGGAGTATGTTTTTATGTTTCCACTGTTCATCGCCCGTGCCTCTCTCACACACACACACACACACACACACTGTTCGATTGCGCGATTCGCGCCCGCGCCTCTCTCTCTCTCTCTCTCGCACACACACACACACTCCAGCATTGCAATCTTCATCGCAGCCTGTTCATTGCTGCGTTCACAGTCAAACCAAAAGCGAATAGAGCGAAATTGATAGCTATTTAAGAGGTTTTTTTTTATTTGTACCGTGTATTCTCCGTGCAAATTCGTGCACCAAACCGTGACGCCTGTACCGTTTCGGTTCAATACGAATACATGTACCGTTCCACCCCTAGCCTTAATATATCGGCCAAATTTTCTTATCGGGCCGATAACGATAACATTAAAAATGATCATATATCGGCCGATACTGATATGGTGGCCGATATATTGTGCATCCCTACATAAAATGTAAAGCCCGACCGATTTATCGGCCGATATGAGCCTGTCGCAGATTTATCGGTATCGGCGTATATATGACGCAGATATGCCGCCGATATGAACGCGGATAAAATGCTTGTAAATTGTGTAACTACGTAGTTTGTCCAGCAGAGTGCGCTCCATTGTTTGCTACTGGCGACCCAGGTCACTGTGGTGACACCAGCCAACCCTTTCACTCCAGAGGTCTCTTCAGACACGGTGTAAAATGCGCACACATTAGCTTCCGCTCCACTGACACGGTATGAAACATGGCTAGCTAGCTAATGTAGCAAACGAGTATGATAAGCTCATTGTGAGAGTAAAAGACAGGGACATTGTTAATTTACTTTATAGCATTGAGTCTCACCAGGTGACAACGTAGCGTTAAACAGACTCAAGCCACCACCGCACTGCTAACTAGTTAGCAACTTAACTTTAAGACACCGCTTGAATGCTTGTCCGCTGCAACCTGAACGCAATGCGACAAAAGACAGTTGAAGCCATTATAACCATTACAAATCTCCCACAGTAAACTGATCCCTGGTTCTATTTATCACGTACTGACGCGAAGGACAAATGCTTTGTAACAGGCGCTTTTTCCAGGATAAACAGTTTTTAGCTGTTGCGACGCTAGCGACAGCGGCCGCGTCCAGTGTAAACACAGTGTTAGCCCATTCTGCCTATAACGCTACGTTATAACACTTTATATAGGGCCATTTTGCATAATGAGTAGTTTCACGTTCAGTACATTTTGCTGACTACTTATTTAAAATAGTATTTAAGTACAAGTACTGTACTTATGTAATTAAACATGTTTTCATTATGGTATTATTACTTTTACTTTAGTAAAAAGATCTGAGTCCTTCTTCCACTGGTAGAGATTAGAGGAATTAAGACTAATAATAGAATATAACAAGGGTTTGCCAGTGACACTTTCGATATATTTAAGTTATTTTTTATATGACGTGACTATAAAAAGACAAAGTCATTAGTGAAGATTATGCAACAGTATTTAGAACATAATATAAAATAGTACATGCAATGCAAACTAGTTTGGTTACAGCTCAAATGTATCGTTCTATCATTCTCTCTGCCTCCATTACACATCTTTATCAAGTGTTTGATTACAACATTTGAGTGATCATATATTTATATTCTGTTTATGTATACTGTATCAAAAGTTTGTACACACGAATGGGAAGATGTGTCCAAACTTTTGACTGGTACTGTATTATAATACACAAATAATATCGGCCGATATATCGATATCAGGCTTTATTTACTCCCTAATATCGGTATCGGCCCCCAAAAATCCATATCGGCCGGGCTCTAATAAAATGTTCTTTATAGTAGCTTCTTCAGATTGTTAAGATGTTCTTCACAAAGAAAAAAAAAAGTTATTTTAAGAATTGAACACTGAAAGAACCAAAACTGGTCCTTCTATAGCATTACTGTGGAAACCTTTCATTCAGAACCTTTATTTTTAAAGTCGCCCTGTGGTAATCCAGCTTTTAAAGTTGTTTATGTGGCTATGTGGTGTTTTTAATCTGCTTTAAGACGAATCATATGTAAATTCATAAGTCGACAGCATTGCTGAGTATTTTCTGCTTAAAACTGCAGTGAACCAAAGACAGTCTCAAAAACACGGTTTGAAATCGCTGGTGTTTCTGACGTCACAAACGACCTTGTAACCAATCAGATCAACGTGTGATCATCAACCAGTGGATCTCTGAGCTGAGTGAGTGAGTGGAGGCGGGGCTCATTTGCATATTCATAGAGCCGCGCATACTAAATGAGGCGAGGGTGTCGAGTTACATTCAAGATATTTTAAGGCATGAAGAAATTTGTTTGATCAAAGATGAGGGTTTTAAGGGATACAATTATTGACTAAGTTATTGATTAAGTGTTTTTAAGAGTGTAAAGGGTTACAAGTGTTTGTGATCGTGCAATGACAGATACTACAGAAGACAGAGAGGATTCTACAGACATCATCATCTACTCATTTTAAAGACATGCACAAGCTTAGACCAGACCTAGTGTAGAAATTTTGAAAAATTTTAAGAAAAGAAGGGAAATCTTAAGAATTATTGAATAAGAGATACGAAGGATATGGAATGAAAGAAGTAATGATCGGAATAAAAATAAAAATAAATACCCATATTGGGAATGAGAGTACTTCTGGATTAAAATGCATCATCCTCAAATGTTTTCTTTTGTATATAGTTAATAAAAAAAAAAGATTTAAAAACGGATCGGATCTGGTACCAAAACTACAGGCAAAGTAATAAATATATAACTATATCTGAATTTCCAAAAAAAGCTGTAATATTGGGTTGGCTGGCATTGCCTTGCAACATACTTTATTGTTACTACAATTGATGACTTTTATGTCCCTTTTTTTTCTTTCTCTTATAATTTTGGATGCAATATCTGTTTCACAAAATATGTTTTGCTGTTTTTTTTTTTTGTTTTTTTTGTTTTTTTTTAGCCAATATACCCAATTGTTGAATGCCTTGACTAAGATTCCAGGTACCATCCAATTGTAAGGAAATGTTATAATTACTGTAATAAAAACTTAAAGAAAAAAAAAGGAAAAAAAAGACATGCACAAGCACCAAATGCGAGTCAAAATTGGTGTTGGCGAGTATATGAAACTGTGTCAATCGCCGGTCGGACGGTAACATTTTTATGAATCCTAAAAATCCAATGTTGTGAGAACATGAGTGTGAAGGACGCTCGGGACAGTTGGCACTGCATCATCACAAGAGTTTAAGCCTTGAAAGAAGACGCGCAAGGGAACTGAGAAGTGAAGTTTTCTGTGTGCAAACATCCGAAGCAAGCACACAAATCCTAAACTGAGCTCTCTTTCACGTCTTCTTGCGTTTGAATGGACCAATTCACACCATAGTATGTAAAAAATAACGAGTATCCTAGTAAACATAGTTGGTTAAGTCTTAAGTGAACGTAAACAGTTGAGAAAGTAAACGTGTGTGTCAGTATCAGTACATTAGATCAGTGCATTCGCTCTTAAAGTGACAGCAGCCTAATATAAAAGTAAGTTTAATAAGGATTAATCTAAATTTATACAGTGAAGACTATCCAGTGTTATTTCACATTTGATTACTTTATTACATTTAAACCTGTAAAGCACTGTTTATTATATTTGTATCTACTGTATTTATCTGGCTTTTGCTTGTTATTTGAATATTTGTCAGGGATGCACAATATATCTGCCACCATATCGTTATCGGCCTGATAAGAAAATTTTGCCGATATATTAAAGCCGATAAATAATGTATGATTTCCTTCAGCTGAGACTCTACAGATGCGCACTGTTCAACATGATGGTTTTGAATTGCTTGAAATATGATTGAAATCACTTCAAAAAAGGAAAATACAGTTCAGTGCGACATGTCTGTCATATCGGCTACTTAAAATTATAATGAGAACATTATAATTGTGTGTTTGGGACATTGATTTTAATGAGTGTTTTGTAATCAGGCTCTCAAAAATTATATAAAAATTTGGATTTATCAGCCAATATATCGGTTATCGGCTTTCATATATAAAGAATTATCAGTCAAAATTTTCATATCGGTGCATCCCTATTATTTGTTCTTTTTTTTACTGACTGTTTACTTGTCTATAATAATGTTTATATTTATATTACAGTAGTTAGGCAAGTAGTTTTAGCTGTGGTGTTGAAAAGGGAATTGTGATTTTGCTAAAATAAGTTTTAGGCCCTGTTTATAATGATGTGCTGAGACTTCTAGCCTCGATGTCTGGCTTGCCGTAATATCTGGAGAGTTTCAGTGAAGGATGTTCCTGATTTTCCAGATGTTACGGTGTGTGATCAAACCATCCGACTGTTACGGTCTAATCACTGAAGGCTTCGGTTGTCTAGGAAACTCTCATGCTTTTTACACACACACCAGATAGGTCACGATTTACTTAGAAATTATTTTTTAATTCAGGAATCACTAGTAAATTGATTTAAACATGGAATTTTGAAGTAGAAGGTATTTTCTTGTAAAACTGAAATTATTTTCTTCTAAAGTTGTAAATATAACAGTGCATGCATGATAGAAACTCAGTTTGAGGCGCTGAGAATCTGGACGGATGTTCATGAGGAGTTTATGAGCTGCACATTAAAACACGTCCGTTTGTCAGGAGCAAGAACATTTGCTCAACAACAGATTCATTTGTGAAACCATTTTTGTACGCGAAAACAGCTGTTATTATGATGATGATGATGATGATGATAATGCATCAAAGCACTCCAAGTGAAGAGGCATGTTGTCCCATTTAGACGTTTGAGATGGAAAAACGAACGAGTGTTTGAGCACTGAATGTCCTTCATCAGATCAAGGATCACTTATCTTCAATAAAGCTCTTTTTGTCTTTTATTCGCTGTTTTTGGGTGTTTTTACATCTTTTGTTTGCAGTAAATGAAACTTGTGTTGATATTTGATCACATGCATTGACATGAATGAACTCTTATATCATGGTTTGGGTCAGTTTGACTCAAAACTACTCAAGTTGTCAGAAATACTGGTTAACCAGTGACTTTCTCTCATTTAGAGTCATGAACATGCATGCAAAGTTGTGGAATGTGCATATAGAATTTCTATTAATATTTATTTTTGATGGCACGGCGTTTACATTTATGCATTTGGCAGATGCTTTTACCCGATTTTCTTTTTTACACTGCATTAATGCCGTACATTTTTGCGGTGATTTGAACCCTTGATCTTGGCGTTGCGAGCGCAGTGTTTGAGGCGCACAGAAAAGTGCTTTTTCACACTTCTTCTGTTTAAAATATTTGTAAAAATGTTAAAAAACAGTTACAATACTATGCAAACTTGTTTCCAACACAGAATACAGAAATAAAAAAAAGGTATTTGCGACCTTTTATTTTCACAATTCAGACTTTATTTCTTGAAATTCAAGTTCATACCTAAAAAGACGAAATTAACTTTTTAATTTTTTCTTCCATGGTGGAAACAAGCTTCAATAAAAATGTTTATAAAGTTTAGTTTGTGGGGGGGACTTAGTAAATGGATATTTTTACAATCATATTTTCATTATTTTGTGGAATGTGTGAGAACTATTAATGTTAAAGCATTACTGTTTGTTTTTCTTTTCTTTTTTTCATAGTGTGATTTATTTTTGAATGATATTGAATCCAAATAGGGTCAGTTTATGATCAAGCCCAGAATTTGACCACAATTCACTTTAGTGAAGTGTGACTTCTGACATTGACTACATTCATACATTGAGTAAGATTCTCCAGCTGATTAAAAGACACAGAACTGTGGCGTGAGTGAAGAGAAAGGATCTGATCAATCTTCAGGTCTGTCCTTTCATCATCTGTGTGATTTGAAACTCTTCAGAGATTGCTTCTCTTCATTTGCAGTCGTATCTTGATAATAACAGCTGTTTCCTCAAATGAATCTCTTTCATGAGTAGCAAATGTTGGTTCTGCTGACAAATGAATGTGTCCTAATGTGTTTGGAAAGATTTATTAGGTCTACAGTGTGTGTGTGTGTGTGTGTGTGTGTGTGTGTATGATGGATACATCACTGCTTTTAATACTGATACCGGAAAAAATAAATAAATAACAACTTCACTCCATAATAAGCCCACGAAACCAAATTTCTGCAAAATGCTGATATGAATTTCCTCTCAGCAAATGTCACGATGCAGCTGTCAGATTCAAAATTAATACATTACGCAGCAATAACAGAATACAGAGATCATAATAATAATGAGAACTGCTAATAAAGGTTTAATATAACAATTAATAAAAGATCAGACGAGCGCTGTCAGGCATCATCCGGACATTTGGTGTATTCAAGTCCCTTTAATTAGATTAAAACACTTCCTAAAGATGCTCTTATTTAGAGTACATCTATACATGTCATTATATATAAAAACTCTATAATTTAGTATCATTAAAGCTCAAAAGAAAGTCTGGCACACAGTCACTGATGTTAATATGGATAAAAGAGGAGCATCAGCTCTCTAGAGACTGGGAAAGTTGCTTCAGAATCATCATTTTGCCCGGATTCTGTCGGATTCAGCTGTTCTGTGCGCACTTTTCTCAGTTTGAGACGCACCGTTGTAGTTTTTCATGATGCCAGAGATGCATTAAAAACGCAACCAAGAGGAAAAACTCTTTAAATTCCTCTATAGTGCAAAGCATTAACAAACACTCACACACACATGGCATTGGACATTAAAGTCAATGTGAAATGCCATTTTGTGTTCGTATGGGAATTGCAAAAAGATATGCAACAAGAGGCAGTACTTGATTTAATTGACTGATAACTGATTGACTGATAACTGATTGACAGATAACTGATAACTGATTGGATGGTAAAAACTGGTAGAAAATGTTAATCTGAGAAACTGAAACAGTGTGTTCATTACATATTGTAGGCTACTTGAAAAACTTAAGAAAATATATTTAATTTACCACTGTGATTGACTTGCTGTGAGACTTATTTTTATTCTTAAAAGTAAATGTGGTTCTTGGGTTAACTTTTAAAAATAATATATATATATATATATATATATATATATATATATATATATATATATATATATATATATATATATATATATATATTTATATAAATCTAGACGATAAATAGGCTGTAATAAATTACAATAGGCTACATCTGATTTATTTTGAGACAACTTGCCCCGCTATAGGATTGACGCGTTAAATTAACAGTAGGCCTATATTTTGTTTGTGTATTAATAATAGTGGAAATGTTCAAATGTTCATAGATAGATAGATAGACAGATAGATAGATAGCCTAGGCTACTTGCCGGGTTGTTTCAACCCATGTTTGGGTCAAAAATGGAGAAATCCAACCGTTGGTAACCGTTGGTCTTCTAGGTTTTAAAATTAAAATCCCAAAGGTCGGATTTGTCCATATTTGACCCAAACATGGGTTGAAACAAACCAGCATTTTTGATAGATAGATAGATAGATAGATCAACAGGTCTAAAAAATATATCAGTAGCCTATCTGTTATTAATAATTAACGTGGAACATAATGATTTGTTTACACGTTGATATAGCCTACAAACTGACATCACGGATTGAAACATGCATTTTCTATAAAGCTGCTTTTGTATTTCGAAAAGCGATATAGCCTACAAATAAACTTGTGTTAATAATAATTCACAAGATAGTTCTCACCTGACAAACATGATAATCCCCACTTTGGCGATGTCCTCCTGGATGACTTTCCAGGACTCCTTGATCAGGTGTATGTGACGCGGCGTGAGACGCGCCGGACCTTCCGCGTCCTCCGTGCTTCTGATCTCCTGTGTTCTCGGAGTCAATCCGGATCCTGATATCGCGCAGCCCATCCTGATCCTGATCCTGACACGAGCCAAACTTCCTCAGCTGTCTGTCAGATAAGCCGCTGGTTATTCTCAGTCAGCTGGTTGGGTTAGCCGTGTGTCTCTAGCGGTCTGTGTCGCTCGGCTTCTCCATGTCTGTCTAGAATCAGACCTCCAGTAAGAGCCTCAGAACCTGAAACCTGCTCACCGGGAGGGGAGGAGTCCATTATCATCATCATCATCATCATCATCATCACAATCACAACATGAGAGAGATCCTCAAACACTTGCTTCAAACCTGTAAAATCATTTAGATATTTTAAATTCATTGCAGAATGCCAAATACGTCACACTTTCAATGAAGTAGGCTATATTAATATAATCACAATATTAATAAACAAGTAGCATATTCATTACTTCAATGAGCTCATTGTATCTGCATAACTAGCAACAGTGTGAAAGTGAATAGCATAACAGGCACAATATTGGTATAAGACGTTTTTAAAAAGCCTAGATGATTTTTATTTCAAAAAGGATAATTTTTATTAAAGGTGACACATTATGCCCCTTTTCACAAGATGTAATATGAATCTATGGCGCCCCCAGAATGTGTCTGACATTTTAGCTCAAAATATTATTTATTATAGCTTGTAAAATTTGGGCCTTTTTGGGTGTGAGGAAAAACACGCCCTTTTTGTGTGTGTCCCTTGAGGCCCCGTTTACACGTACATGGGTATTTTGAAAAATGGAGACATTTCTCTTCGTTTGTGCCCTTCGTTCACACACACACACGGAGAATTCGCCTCTGAAAACGATTCTTTCTAAAAACTCCGGCCAGAGTGGAGATTTTGGAAAACTTTGTTTGCACATTTGCAAACTGAGAAAAACGTAGTTTTAGGCAGCCGACGTCACAGTATGCGACAGAACTTGCTCCTGCGTCAAAAGTGCGACCTATGTTTATATTTTCATTTGGCTATGGTGATCATGATGCATTCAGAATAGCAGTCGCATTTATGTTGGTGCAAACCCTTTTCGTTTGTTTGCATTTGCAAATACAGCTGCTCTATTATGTCAAGGAGCTGTTGTTGCTATTTTCGGGATTCTGATTGGCTAACGTGGGCTTGAGCTTCTAGTTACACTGCCACCCACAGGTTTGGCATGCTCTTGATGGCATACATGTCCAAACTCAATCCTGGAGGGCCACTGTCCTGCAGAGTTTAGTTCCAACTTGCCTCAACACATCTGCTTGTAAGTTTTTAGCATGCCTAATGACCTTCAACAGCTAATCAAGACCTTGATTAGCTGTTTCAGGTGCGTTTAATTGGGGTTGGAGCTAAACTCTGCAGGACAGTGGCCCTCCAGGACTGAGTTTGGGCACCCCTGGTGTAAACAAACACTTTTCTGAAAACTGACAGGTGTGCACGATGTGATCTCTGAAAACGGAGAGAGTGAAATCTCAGTTTATGAAAATGGTGTAAACGTAGCCTTAGGCCCTGTGTCCACCCTGTATTTTCTTCACGCGGCTGGCGTTTTTTCCCAATTATTTTCAATGGGAGCGCCGCATTTTTAAAACGGCAGGAGCGTAACGAGATGAGTTTTTTACCGGTCGCCGAGAGTTGAAGAATGCTGGGTAAACTTTGGGTAAAACCAGGCGCTCATCACTGTCACTTTTTTACCCAGCCGTCCAATCACAGAAGAGACAGGGCGGGGCAAATACCACACCAAACAACCGTCACATTCTGCTTGTACAATGTCAACAAGCATAAATAACAGAACAAAACTATTTAAAATAAGAGCCAGAGCAAATACGTTGCAATGTATCGATATTTTTATATAGAAACAATATGTTTCTATACATATTGTTTCCTTGGACTTGGTACCGTTTGTAGTGATGCGGTACAAAGTCCCGAGGACTTTTCTATCCCTTCAGAGGTGTGTGTGTGTGTGTGTGTGTGTGTGTGTGTGTGTGTGTGCGTCTAAAATGAGAAGTGATCCACCTCCACAGAGCCATCTTTATTATGGGGGTTCAGGGGGAGATCTAGGCTATGCACGGAACATTTCTTTTAAGCGGAAAATTAATAATTTTCAAATATATGTATTTATAGTGTCTATAAACAACTATTTTATAATGACATTATAATTATACATGTAGCCTACATTAGCAGGGCATTCAGTTACTTTTGTAAGGACAATAATAAAGTGTCGTATTTCATAAGACTTTAACTTTGCCAGCTATAAAAAAAATCTAGCATTTCCTCACGTTTTACCACTGCTTTTAGTGACAGTCGATATGCATGGAATACTGGCGATGACAGTGATGGCCATCCACGCCCATTTAAGTTGCATTTTTCAAAAAGATTGTGAGCTAGACTTGAGCTGAAAGAGGGGGGTTTCATGACCCTTTAACAAAAAAACACTACGCTGCCAAGATGCTTCAAGCGCCCACAGCTAGGCTTCAGGCTTTCAGCTGGCTAAAATGCATTGCTGGAAACACGGCCTTACGGAGAGATTCAGGAAGGGGTTCGACTTTTAGACGCACCTGGACGTTCATGGTTAGTGGATGCATGTATGTAGTTGTTGAGTTACATTGATTCATCTCATCAGCTTGCATGGACCGTCATTTAACTTTTAAGTTAACAGTTCCTTGAGGTCCAAATCTTAAACGTATATAAAGCCTCTACTTATGCAACAGCAGCTCAATTACTGAAACATTGAAACAAATGAAAAAGTAGCAGATCACTGAAATATGAAGAAACAGCTGGATCCAATCTCAGATGAAGGCATAGGTCAGGTGTCGAAGTTCTTTCTATTACTTGGACATAAAAAGAAAGGGTATAAGGGGAAAAACAAAGAAAAGGTTGAGCACACATTCTTCCACATCTCATTATCCAATTACTCAACTAATCCTCTCCCAGATATTGGTCTACAATTCTGCGTTTTTTGGCTTCCACATGAAACAACTAATTCAAAGAGTCCCTTTCTTTGTATATCCAAGTAATGGAAAGAACTTCAACACCTGACTATTACTCCATCTAAGATAGGATCCAGCCATTTCTTATTTCAGTGATCCACAACATATTTAATTTGATTCAAAATTTGGAAAGGGTTTCAGTAATTGAGCTGCTGACACACAAGTAGAGGCTTTATCCTACATTTAAGACTTGGAACATTAGGTCTTCATTTCTGTCATGCTGCATTTAAGCATTTGTAAATAAGACCAGAAAGAGCCATGATTATTTTTATAGGGCAAGCTCGTATGAAGACAATTTAAGCTTTTTAGATTAAAACTGAGGCGTAACCAGTTTAAGGAAGGGAAAAGAAACAATTAGTGTCTCATGAAGTTTTATTAGGCTTATGAACATAAAAGGAGAAAAAGTCAGTCTCTTCCAGTATCAATTGCCACTTCAGGATAACTTCACAATTACTCATCTCATTCATTGTTTGCGAGACCAGTAGCTAGATTGTGACCAAGCAGGAGAAGACACCGGTTTGGGGCTGTGAGGAGGAAAGACTGGATCCTGAGGATACTTGGGCATGAATGGGTATTGAACATGAGGATGTACAAAAGGTTGAGGGCCATAAAACTTTGGGTACCGTGGAGGATAACCTACAAACTGGTCTAACTGGGGAGCAGTGGCCGGGGTAGGTGGAGTTGTTGCTTTTACTGGGCTCTTGAAGGGGTACATGTATGGAGGAAACATTGGGTACTTGGACTGTTGATGCTGTGGTACCATGAACTGGTCTAACTGGGCAGCAGTGGTCGTGGAAGGTGTAGTTGTTGCTTTAACTGGGCTCTTGAAGTGGTACATGTATGGAGGAAACATTGGGTACTTGGACTGTTGATGCTGTGGTACCATGAACTGGTCTAACTGGGCAGCAGTGGTCGTGGAAGGTGTAGTTGTTGCTTTAACTGGGCTCTTGAAGTGGTACATGTATGGAGGAAACATTGGGTACTTGGACTGTTGATGCTGTGGTACCATGAACTGGTCTAACTGGGCAGCAGTGGTCGTGGAAGGTGTAGTTGTTGCTTTAACTGGGCTCTTGAAGTGGTACATGTATGGAGGAAACATTGGGTACTTGGACTGTTGACGCTGTGGTACCATGACCTGGTCTAACTGGGCAGCAGTGGTCGTGGAAGGTGTAGTTGTTGCTTTAACTGGGCTCTTGAAGTGGTACATGTATGAAGGAAACATCGGGTACTTGGACTGTTGACGCTGTGGTACTGCTGGGAAACCTCTAGAATTAAAGTAATATGGATCAAACATTGACATGGGATACATTTGAGGGAACATTTGTTGGTTAGGGTCTTGAAGAGGAGCAGGGGTTGTAGGTGGCACAGTGGGAGGTATAGGTCGTACACCAGGGCGACCATAAGAATATGGAGGATACCCCACATGTCCTCCAAACGGGAAAGGGTAAAACATTTGTTGACTGCCAATTGGGTCCTGGAACGGATCATCGGTTGTTGGGGCCAGCGTTGGTTGTGTCCCAGGACAAGAAAGAGTCACTTGCCGGTCACCGTACATCAAAGGGAGCTGCATGTCAGTATCCTAAGGAAGACAACCATCAACTAGCATACATCGATGAATCAGACAAGTGCACTCGGTTATTAATACCTTAATGTCCCAACAGCTTCCTGTAAATGGCGCAGTGACAACCAGTGAACCATCAACAGACTCCAATGTGAATGAGCATTTAGAATATGCTAGAAGCAGAGGCTGCCATGATCCATCAACTAAGAGGAAAGAGAAAACCATAAATAAAGCTCAAATCACCTCTTAGATTAAATTCAAAGAATTAGGGGACTTGCCTTGAACTTTAACATGATCTGGTCTGACGCCAAGTGAGATAATCATGCCAGAAGGGGTGCAGGACACTGTAGGGAGGCGAGGACTCACAGGACAAGACATTTGAACTGGAGCCCCCATTATAAAGAGTGGGAGAATATAACGTCCACCCTGTTAGGAGATTTGGGAAGAAAAAGAAACGACCACCATTCATTCCAAGGCCCACTGTTCACTTGGTTGGAGCAGAGCAACAGTGCACTTATCTTTAGTATGCACTAACCTGTCGTCTGACATGACAGCCCTGGTATGGAGCATCGAGAGAAACATCTCTGCGTGCCCGCTTCAGTGAGAAACCACAGCTGGCTGGCATCTCAGACAGAGGCACTGGTGACTCAATTCCTGATGAGCAAATGCATGTATTAAACACAAATCCAAAACACCTTACCTCGATCAACCAGAAAGTGTGGCGATTTTGCACGTCGGAATGTTCGAACCCCCAGATCTTACTTTAGGAGTAAGTTCTCAGACTTATTCGATTACATTTTTAAATACCCAGTCATACAATTAATATAAATACACATTTCAGGAAAATAAAACATTTGCCATATGCAAACCATGCACATTCTTCTATAACATCATTAATATTCATTGGCATTAATGCCACAGCTTAATGGTTAAATTAATTTATCATAGAGAGAGAAATTCAACACAGATGCAATGTTAGGTTATTTGTGCACGCAACATGAAACCATCAAGGGAATGCGTGGTGGCACACAAATCCAAAACAACTTACCTCGATCAACCAGAAAGTGTGGCGTCCTTGATCCTGGAATGCGCAAGGTCATTGAATCGTTCCCACAGTGCACAGAAGGACCCAGACGTCGCAGCTTAGCTTTAGCAAGACGGAACCGCTCTTAAAAATAATTAAGTTAATTTATAATTCCCATTTAAAAAGCAGGTTGAACTTTAAATTAGGATCTCAAATTACCTTCTTCATTTGACCGATATTCATGAGACTGTTCTGCTGACCTAAGCCCAGATTTTTCCATTTCTTTATCAGATACTACACCTTGAGCACCAATTAAAAGTTTGCCCAAACGGATTGGGTTTTCAGAGACTGCTCCATATGGAGTACCTGTTTCAAAAAAGGACTCAGGACCAGCTCTTAAAGAAGAACTCAACATGGTCACAGACATTGTGAAAAGTAAGATGCCCATTGTCCAAGGCATGGTGAGTTTGTTGTGCTACTCAAGAGAGCGCACAAAAAAAGCAACTAGTGAAAGAATCTTGCCTATAAAAGATGAGACACTGAGCTATTTGTACTCACTTTTGAATCACTCGCTGATACAGGTTGACCAATCAAAACTATTTCTCAATCAGCTTATTGTTTTCACCTGTGCCTCATTAAGCTGAGATTTAACACAAGGGGCTGCATTGGAAAAGCGGACTAGCATATACTGCAGAGTAGTATGTATGCTATTGAAAATTCAGTCAAGTGATGCCAAAATTTGGTGTCTTCGTTGATAGGACTCAATATGGTACAATAATCACTTTATTTATTATAATGCATGATTCAGTGGTCAAACAGAAAGAGAGAGCTTTTAAAAATGTATTTTTATCCATTACACTCGTTAAATAGTATAGATAAGTGTGCCCATTGTCTATTTAAAAACAAATCTGCAGTCAAAAATAATATAAGAATCACATTACTTAAATAGTTTAGAGATAATTGTTTCCATTAAATATGTATAAATCTACTATTTTGCATTTGGAAATTGCTAAACTAAAAGACTGATGTCACCTGCACACGTTATGCTGGTGCAGTGACTCTTGGGATGGCCATCTCTCTCTCGCACTTTTCTATTGGTCCCTGCACCAGTTGTTTAACCGATTTCGGCTATTGGTTCAAATCTTGAAAATGGGTTGTTCAAAAGGAAAAGGGGATTCTGAAATCGGATTAGTCTTGGTTTTGATCTGGATCAAATCGTGAGTTTGAATTAACTATTTTAGTAAGATTGGGATAGCTTTTAAAGGTGACATATTAAGGCCCCTTTCACAAGATGTAATATAAATCTACGATATCCCTTGAATGTGTGAAGTTTCAGCTCATGTGGGAACTGTCTTAACTGTATCAATAACAGTGCATATGTTAGCCGAGCATTAACGTGAATGACTGATATAACAGTAAAGTTTGTAATACAAATCGTGCCACATCCTTTATCTTTCCTCAAAGTAGTAAGAATGACAATCTGCATTAATAGACACAGTTTTAGGTAATAGTGGCCCACAACTGCTTAGCATAAGTATTTTAGTAAGACGGTAATAACGTGATTTAGCCAATTAGCTCAATAGCATACATACTATTAGCATACAGAGACCTCAATATAAAACACAAAACTATGTATTTTGAACACCCTGTAGAAAATGTATACATCAATTATAATACAGGTTTTGATTCTGAGGAGCAAGTTAATCCAAATAAGTCCCAGCTTTAATGAATAGCATTTTGTATAAATCCCATTTAGACCTCAGAGATTTTAGAAGAAGGTTATACTGCTGTTGTATCTCACCCCACAAGTGTTTACAAAGAGAATTCGCTTTTGCAGAGCCGACATTTACACAACATGAACAAGCTACAGAGTTTGAGGGTCAAATAGACGTTGTTTTCGGGCACTCCGGGCAGCCAATGAAGAGCATAGACGGGCATTATGAATGATGAAGGTCATTATGCATATGTGTTACTGCGTTACGAATGCAGGTCAAGAAAGTGAGACTGGAATTCCTGAACTCGTTTATGCGGTTCAGAGTCGATTCTTTCTTTTGGGAGACAATAACTTTATTTATTGTGCACTTTCGACTTTACAATTTTTGCACACTGCATGCAAGGGAATATTCATAGAAGCACATTAGGGGCACTTTAACTAATGTTGTTAACCAATGTTAATAAATTGATCCTTATTGTAAAGTGCTACCGACTATAATCTATTCAAGATTTAGATGTGGAGTATAAAACATATTGCCAGATATAATAAACATAGAACTACATCTAGATCTGAGATGGCAACTAAAATATGTTGGCTTGAAGAGTGAGTCTCTAAAGCACTTCACCTCAGGTTGCTCCAGACTGTCCATGTAATCAATGACCTGTAAAGAGATAAAAGCATCTGCTATTAATCATTATTTGCTTACAATAAGGTACTTCCCGTTACTCCATATATCCATTCAAAGGGTTATCTGTAATCCAGGATGAGATTAAGGCTTCCTTTCTGCTCCTTCCTTGGAAGTTATTAATCATATACATGCTATATTCCACCTTAAAAAGTGCATAAACGAACTGCCATACGCCCTTAAGTCACGCAGAATAATTTTAATACACAAAAACATTGTTGACAGGATAATAAAGGACGAAAGGATGAAGGGAATAATGATCATAATGTGGAAAGCTTCTTTTAATGTAGTATGACAGAAAAATAGAATATGAACTGAACATTTTTTTTATTACAAAAAAGTCAACAAAGGCATTGTGCATACTATTTACACCAATTCAAATAAATAAAAAGGATTAAATATACAAAATAACAGTGACATCAACCCCGCCAATGAGCAGAAAAAATATAACCAAAACCAGCTAGCTTATAATAACTCCCATTAAATGAAAATATTTATCCAAATACAGTGAGGAAGACACTTTCTGTGACTGTGCATTAATATGTTGCTCAAATGACTTATCCATTTATTTTGGGAATGACATCAGCCTTTATCATTCATCTGGCTTGATCTGATTATAATTTCCAGTTTTCTCCTCATTAGTGGGAATGACTTCTTTATGAGATTACCCTCTTTCCTCTGGTCAGTGCTCGAACACAAACAGTGAAGAGACATCAGGCAGTGCACATTGAGAACGGATTGCATTTAATATGGCAGTGCTTTTACTTTTCTGATAACATGACAAATTTGTGTGCCTTTGTAACATAGTGTGCACTGAGCTATTCTATTTTCTTCCTTATTGTTTTTTATTTCAAAATGACCAAAGGAAAAAATGCGTATCAAACCATTTTTCTAAACGTTACAAAAAGATGACAGTACCACAGCCAGCTCCTTTAATAAATGTTTACATCTCATTGAAACACGCACAAAATAATGCAGAAAAATTCGAATTTACATGTATTTACAAATGCACATTTTATAAATATGTTCTCTGAAGTCCTAAGGCATCCCTTTTCCAGTTGGTTTGGACAACATTTGCTGACAGTTCATAACTGGAGGTTAAGAAAAAAACATGCAGACCATGTACTATGCCTCTAAAACAGTGGCCAAATGACAATTTTTGGAGAAAAGAATGTTAGCTTTAAGATATTTTAAGGTTCTGAATGTGTTTGGAGTAAAAATATTGCTTTATAAGACTCACGTATAAGAATTCAGGTTCTGAAATTTCTCACGCAGGTTTTTAACCAAACTATCCTGACTGTTCTCCGCTTTTTCAAATGAGCATGGTGGGTGACCTCCATCCATCCATGCACTAAAGTTTTGCTCTTTACTGTTCGACATTGCAAGTTCAGATTGTGAAACAGCATCCCATTTTAGTTGATTCTCATTACTATCCTCACCTCTTGCTGCCCTTTCGACAACAATTAGGTTGGACAGGGTATCTAGACCAGGGTCAAAAAAGTCATCCGGTTGCTCAAGTGCATGCGATGTCCCCACATCAAAATCTAAAGTTTTAACTCTACACAGCGAAGGCAAACCTTCAGCTTCAAGGGTCTTGCTGGAACATGCAGAATCTGTGGATGTACTTCTCTGCACTGTGACACTGTAGGAAGGGGATGAACAAGACAAGGAACGTGATGCTCCGGACTTCTCCGATGTCTCTCTGTCATCCAGAATTCTCTCTGGAAAAGAGTTACTGCGACCCACTGGGACCGGACGAGAGAAAGCGGATACGTCCTCTCGGCTATTATATTTGGAGCGTAACTCCTTTACATCTGGCCAGTGAAAGCTCTCTGTTTGTACTGGACTTTGTGGTCTCTGGGCATTTAATCTGCAAAAGTATGGCAATTGAGGACTTCCAGGAGAACAGAGGCTGGAAGGTGGACTAGTAGTCTTAGAGTCCGGGATAATGTCCTGCTCATTCAAGGTCAGCAACAGTGTCCTGTCAGGCATGCCTATGCACAAAAGAGCAGTGGTTAAAAGTCTGCTTTAACAAATGAGTGTTGAAATGAGTTTACACTATGCCAGAGAACACTGCAAATCCATTGATTTCTAAAGGGAATGGTGCGTCGCAAGGATGTGGAGGAACTACACAAGGGTTTGATCAGTCATGCAATCCAAACTCTGATTTAGGAATCCATTGACCAATGAGGATTTCAGATAGGAAAGTGCACTTGTGCTTTCGGAAATCCAATTCACTGGGTGCTTCTCATTTCTAAATTTGAGCATCCTCGTTTTCTTTCCTCGCGTCTTAGCTCCAACCCCCTTAGGATTCGAGGGAAGGATACACCCATGCATGACTCCTCGGGAAGCTTCCTCGCTCCTCATTCCTTGCCTCCTCACGGTGCAATTAGAGAATTGAGAAGTCCTTCAAGATGGCTGAGTTCGATCGGTTTCCGGGTCACAGGCTGGAGGACGGAAGAACGAGGAAACGAGGAAGCATCAATTTGAGTATTGAGAAGCACCCACTGTATTCCCACTTGATTTCAATCTTGACACAACCTCAAAATGGATCTTACACATTCCTATCCATCAGATCCATCTCTATATTGTAATCGTCTCAAGCCTTTAAGCAAATACGTGGATACCAATGGTCTGGATTGGTAACCAATAAGTTGTAAACAATCACGACTAAGCGATCGCACTCAGGCAAGAAACTTAACCGCAATTTAGGGGGATTGTCCCTCAAGTAAATAGATTAGTCAGTTTGGAAAAGCAAATGTCTACTCAAACACTACACCCACCTTTCTCCTTTCCCGGAGGTCTCTCCTCCATGACCGAAGACAGGTTCTTGGGTATGAAATTGATCTCTGAGATCTTGGGTCTCTGCCTTACTACTGGTCTGCTGTTTTTGATCCGCTGACTGTATTGCCTGGCTAACTGGAACACTTTGTTTTTCATCTTCTCCATATCTTGAAGGACGAGGTCATCCTCATTGGCGGACCTTAAAGAGATGATCCTTGGTAGGGGAGGGTGGTTGACTTTGTGGAACGTGCGATCCTCATTTGGATGGCTCCGAAACTCTTGCATCTTGTCCTTTTCTAAGATGTTGTTGATTGGGGATGAGGTTGAGCTTTCATCGGATTCTTCCAATATTAGTAGAGGTTCTCCAAGTCCACTATCAGAGCTCACCTTACTAGTTTCAGCTTTTGTTTCTTGTACAGGTGTAGTCGTTTGGGAATTCTCTAAGTCCTGATGCTCTTCAGAAGACCCAGTTATCTCCACTTCCATGTCTTGCCACACCTTGACCATGTCAGATGCGGGCTGGAATTGCTCATTTCCAATGTGAGGTCCAAGCACGGACTCTTTGCCATTTGCAGAAACCACAAAGTCGGAACTGTCCTTTGCTTTCTTTTCATCGTCCAAGCCTGGTAGATTAAAGACGGACCATAAAGTTGGCCTTGTTACAGAAGACCCCCTCCTGTGTAATGCCACATCTTCGTCTGCAAGGTCATTGAGTTGTTGACTCAGATTGCGCACTAGGCCTGCAGGGATGTATGAAAGGCTCTCTCTGCGTTTAACACCAAAGCTGGAGTCCTGATTCTCAGCATGTTCGTAGTAGTGTCTAATCTTATGTATGAGCAATCGGTCCTTTTTGGAAAGGGTGTCTTGTTTCATTTGAGGTCTTTGGTCTGGAACGAACGGGCTGTCAGGAACAGTCTCTGTTTTGTGTTCTGGAGTAGACCGTCTAAATTCTTGGGATTTGTCTTTCTCATGGGGATCTGCACCTCCGCTTAGCAAACTGCTTCTTCTATCTTCCAAAGAGTCGAGATCAAACGACCCTTCGACTCCAAGACTACTTTGAGAGAGGCTGCTGGTACACCGCTCTGGGATATCACTTGCCTTGTCCAGCATGGATGAAGACAAGAGTCCACCAGGCACTTCAACATCAACATCGACCTCCATATTCTGCACATCTTCCGAGAGGTTACTTCTGCATGGAGTCGTTCCTTCCTCAGTGGATGAGAAATCCACACTATCCTTCTTTATATCCTCTCCAATTTCTCGTCCTCCATTATTGAAGTCTACTATCTCTGGATCAGTGTGGCATCGTGCCATTAATGTCCCACACATTTCAGGATAATTATCTGATTGGTCCATCCTCATCTCCTCTGACTCTGTGTTCGGTGAACTGTGTTCCCCAGTTGTGCCCTAGAAAGAGGACAGAAAGAAGACAGTGATTGCTACAGGAAGCTATGAAGAAGATAAGAAAAGAGGATATGAAGATAACTTAATTAAATTCTCAACATTTCACTTATGGCTAAGTGACCAGAATGAAAGAACACGTGCAATTTATCTAGCTATGAAAGACAGCTGCAATTTGTATTTCCAACAAATCCTTTTGTAAACCCTTTCCCTTACATTGTTTATGATTAGCCAATTATCAAAAGTGGGGTATGACGTGCATAATACATGACGTTACCGGTCCAAAGAGAGTCAAAGTTTCATTCATGTCATCAGGCTTTTCTTCACAAGGTGTCTGACTGCTCTTGTTCATTGGCCAGTTCTCCCAACAACCTTCTCTGTCCTGTAAGTACACAATACGGCAATTTAACAGATAAAAAAAGCGCTACTGAATGACATCGTTCACATTTGCCAAATGTCATTTATTCTGGGTGTACTTTAGCGACATTTCAACCTTTTGTAAACATTTGCAATTCATTTAAAAGCATCCATGCATTTCAATGTTTTTCCACAGACAACTGACCTTCTGAAATTGCTTTTGTGTCCCATCAAACAAAGCACAATAAAACAGGAACCTTTGTTTAATTTAATTACGGAAGGCAAGCCATCCGACCTCCACCCCTAAAATTTGACAGTTAAATTTCCCTTTGAAGTCGAACTTCAATCAAAAAAATCTCATTGTGGCTCCAAGTGCAAAAGCACTTTGAGACACCCGACGTCCCGTATTATTATGCATTGGATCTTAATAACCACAACACGCTGTAACTTCCCCATCATATGTAAACAATGCATTCAACATTTTTCACATTGACGCATCTACCATGAAATAAAACATTGATTCTTGAGACATGGGACAAAACAATATTACCTGCCATTAGTTTTAAAAATAATGCATTATGGTAGAAACATTTTTCTTCAGTCATACAGCCCATTCTTTTCCGAAGTCTCATAACGTCAATGATAAATGTAAAAAAATAAATAAAAATTTTTTTTTTCAAGATGGCATTCAATTAGCAGGCCAAGAGTCTTAAACAAGACACACGTGCTTATGGATGATTAGTGGCCATGCATGCTGTAATCTCCATGCAATGATTCATGCAACTGCACATTCAAGCATCAGAACTGTGGGTGCACAAGCAGAAATCAGAGTCAGCGTGCAGCAGATGGAAATGTGATTGATAGCATGGTGGTGGCTGCCAGGCTATGCACAGAGAATAGAAAGCAATAGGTGACAGAGAGCCTCACCGTTGTGATCTGATCAAAAAGCAAAGCCTTGGCCCTATACCGCCAGCAGGAGATGGCGGCCAACACTGAACTGGCAAAGTCAGCTACCTGCTCAACCCCCATCAGATCTTCCTCTTCTCCGTTATCTCCTCCTATCCGGTCCTCTGCGGGCGTCTTTGCTTTCTCTTCCTCCTCCTCAAGACGAAATCTCCTCTCCTTGACGTCATGCAGCGAGCTTGTGCTAGATTCAAGATCTTGTCCGCTCTGAACCATTCCAGGTACTGCAGTCTTCAGGTCTGGATTTGAACGCGCCGTGACGTTGGTAGTGGGCAGTATGGACAGACGGTCTTTATCCACTAATAGAGTACCTTCGCTGTCTGCATGCTGGGCGTCACAGAAAAGTTGTGTGATGTCAATGGGCGCTCATTAAAAAGTGAATTTACTTTACTAATGCAATTAAGTATGAATTGCATTTATGAAATAAATGCACAACATTGTTTCCCATTAATGTGATATTAGCGTACACTACTGGTCTAAACTAAAGTACTGAATAATTAAGATATATTAATGTTTTGAAAGAAGGCTGCATTCAAAAACCCAGTAAAAATTGTGAAATATTATTACAATTTAAAATAATAGTTTTCTATATGAATATATAGTAAAGTGTAATTTATTCCTGTGATCAAAGCTGGATTTTCAGCATCATTACTCCAGTCTTCAGTGTCACATGATCCTTCAGAAATCACTCTAATATGATGATCTCAAGAAACAGTTCTGATTATTATCAATGTTGAAAACAGTCGTGCTGCTTCATATTTCTTTGGATAGATGAGAATAAGAATCAATATTTTATTTATTAAGGATGCATTAAATTGCTCAAAAGTAAAGACATTTATAATGTTACAAAACATTCAATTTCAAATAAATTCTGGACTTTCTATTCATCAACGAATCCTGAAACAAAATGCATCACGCTTTCCACAAAAAAGCAAGAAAATCAGTTTTCAACATTGATAATCATCAGAAATGTTTAGAATATTAGAATGATTTCTGAAGCATCATGTGATTAATATTAATAATAAAAGTTTTTACTTAAGTTTTTTTTTGATCAAATAAATGCAGCCTTGGTGAGCAGAAGAGGCCTTTCAAAAACATTAAAATACCTGAATTGTTACAAACTTTTGACCAGTTCTGTACATTTAGTGCCATTATAAAACCCCACACACCAGTGAATTAGGCTTATATGTACTCTAGACATGTGAAAAGCTTGCATTGGAGAGCAAACATGCAGACCTTACCTTAAGCCTGCCTGAGCAACGTCCATGGACAGTTAAGATGATGCAAAGATGAAAGACAAAGATAAATAAAATGTTATTAAAATAGCAATCAAGTAACAGATTGCCTATCTTGTTTGCAAAGCGTCCTGATATAAAGTGATTTTGGTAACACTTTACAATAAGGTTCGTTAGTTAACTACATTAGTTAACATGAACTTACAAATACAGAAACAAATGTATTGCTCATGGTTAGTTCATGTTAGTTAATACATTAACTAATGAACCTTATTGTAAAGTGTTACTGTGATTTCTATATTCTGATTGCACATAGCATGGGGTTAAAAATGTGTTTTGCCAAGTCTATGCAAAGATAATTAAATCAACTGCAAACTTAGACACTCCCCACTGATTTCCAAGACAGGAACAGGAAAAGCCGAAGTTGGAAATGACAACTTAATCTGGAAGGTGTGAAAGAGTGTGTGTGTGACGAGTAAGAACTGCTTGGCTTTTCTGCAAATTATAATGGACTCGTGCTGATGGCGAGCCAGAAACAGGTTTGTGGACTGAAAGGAACTGGCGCATGACAAAGCCTCGGGCTGATGGGCTTCATAATTAACATCATTATGTGTGCGGGTGGAGGACCGGGGATGTGGCCTTTGATCCGACGCAGGAGGACGACTCGAGTCTCGTGTGTCTTTGATGCTAAAGCGGGCAGAGGGACCACAGCGCATACGGGACACGTGTCTCCCACATGAGCGGAAACAAACACCACGCACCTGCCGTGAGTCCCAGATGACAGGGATATGATTAGAAACTTTCTTTGTTTACCAACCGTATATCTCTGATCTTTTGTGTAGCAGCGCTTCTTTAATCAGTCAGTCATTTAAAAAACAGCATGCATAGTGGGAGAAGAAAGAAAAAATCTTATTTTATTTGCATATACTTTGTTTTCATCAAAGTGCGTATATTTGCTAATACAGCTAGATGATGAAAACATTTAGTTAAAGTCAATCATTTTATCCCTTAAAACTCATCTCTAATACCCAAAATGACACACTTAAAAAAAAAATCGTGATGCCTTGGAATATCTCGAATGCAACTCGACACCCTCGCCTCATTTAGTATGTGTGGTTCTATGAATATGCAAATGAGCCCCGCCTCCACTCACTCACTCAGCTCAGAGATCCACTGGTTGACGATCACACGTTGATCTGATTGGTTACAAGGTCGTTTGTGACGTCAGAAACACCAGCGATTTCAAACCGTGTTTTTGAGACTGTCTTTGGTTCACTCAGCATGAAATACTCAGCAATGCTTACGAATTTACACATGGTTTGTCTTAAAGCATATCAAAAACACCACATAAACAACATTAAAAGCTGGATTTTCACCACAGGGGGACTTTAAAGTTGATCAAAATGTTCATTTTAATCATTGACATATTTTGTACACATACACTGAGGTCCAAATGGCTTTTTCTTTATTTAAAACCATTACTAATTGTTATCGATAACCCTTGCATGTTAGTTCATATTAATTTCAACATCATTTATTATTATTATTATTATTATTATTATTATTATTATTATCAACATAACCTCATGGCAGTTTATCACTATTTTACATTTTGACAAATTTTGATTATTAAAATCAAAAGTTGTATTTGTTAACATTAATTAATGCACTGAGAACTAACATGAACAATGTAATGTATTGTTAGTTCATGTCAGTTAACAAATGTCTCCTAATTGTAAAGTGTTGCCATATTATCAGCATCACAATTTGAGTGAAAATTTGTATTAAAATTAATTTGAGCATGAATAAGACCTGATGATCATGTTCTCCAGGATGATTTGAGCATCTTTAAGTTCAATGGAAGAAAATCTGACTGTCACATGATTAATATCTCTGTTTCCATCCACTGATTTTCATGCAAATTTCGGGGTATTCCTTAAAAAGAAATGCTCGGTGGAAATGTGCATAAATTCTGAAAATATGCATTAAAAATTTGAAGCGGGTACATTTTTTATACTATGCGCATAACCTACAATGGAAACACATTTACTAAATAAATCCCTCAAAACCTTTTGAGAAAACTGATTGGATAACTGGAGTAACCAGCGGACCAATGGCATCGCAGCATCTCTAATGTTGGTTTGGTGTTCCTGAAAGTGATCAGAATGATTGGGTTTAACTCCCTCCAGAAGCGTCTCACACACACGAGTGTGTTCCTGAACACCAGCATCCGAACGCCAGAGAACACGACAGCGTTTACTGTGTCTCGTCTGACGCTCTGAGACACACTCGTTTATGATGGAGGGAAAAACAGCCACATTTCAGAAACTTAGTTTTATTATTCATATTTTGCGAAAATTTCCCAGGAAGTGATGATGTTGTTCTCTTGAAAACATGGGAATGAAACACTGAATATCGCATAAAACATTTGCAAATAAAGCAAAGTTAATATGAACCGACATAATATCATGGCTGTTGATCACTATTTTACATTTTGGCAAATTGTTAATGAATTCATGAAATCTAATTCATATGTTTTCGCACAATCTGCTTAAGCCTCAATTAGTTTATGTTTAAGAGTGGAATTTCATGCTTACTTTTTTCAAATAAATCATGTTTTTGTGCGATTCACAACATTAATTCGAAACAAGCCCCGTTTTGTGGTCTCAAAATGTCACCAAACAACAAAAAAACAGTTACCTTTAGTGCTTCGTACAGTTCGTTTTCCCGGTTCTGTCAAAGATAAACAGAGGACAAGATAAGTCACCATGAAATCAACACTGACCTTTCTTATTTTTTTTTTAATGGAATATTGCAGTGTTTATTAAAAATGATTTATCGGTTTTAAATTCATCGTAATCTTCGATCAGAATAACTTCCTCTTGCAGCTTCTCTTCTCTGATGATGTGGGCGGGGCAACCTGTCACTCACATGAGATCAGCCAATAGCAAACCAAAACCATCCAATCAATCCCCTACAGACAAAATCAAGCCCCGCCCACATTTATTCAAGTTCCTGAAGCGTTTCACTCGAATACAAGTCACAATAGAGAAGAAAAGATGATCGCCGACTTCCCTTTCATGCCGACTTTAAACAATTATATAGTTTCACTCACCAGAACGTCTCCGTTCCTTCAGTGAAACTCCAGAGAGATCGTCAGCCTGAAAGGACGTGGCTTTCTTCAGTCTGTCTGGGCTGTAACGGTACTTTACTGGACCTGAGAAGAAGACGGAACAGGTAAAAACAAAACCGATTGAGAACAATACTAACGTTAGTCATTCCAAAAGAGTTTGTGCATTAAATGTTGAAAATCAGCTCACATGTTGAGTCCATGTCCAGGATGGCGTCTTTGGCCTGAAAGTAAGTGCAAAGCAAAGCCAGTGTTTAATACAATATAGCCGATTCGGTTAAAGGGGTGGTTGAGTAGGATTTCACTTTTCTAACTTTAGTGAGTGTGTAATGTTGCTGTTTGAGGATAAACAACATCTGGAAAGTTACGACGCTCAAAGTTCAAAGCAAAGGGAGAGATTTGCTTTTACAGAAATCGCTTTTTAAGGACTACAACAAACGGCTGGTAGGAACTACACGAGCTTCTTCATGGGTTAGTGACATCACAAACCCTAAAATTTACATAAACCCCGCCCCCTGAACATGATTTATAGATTATCATGACAGAATATGCTAATCAATGACTTGAAGATAGTTAACTTCACATCACCAACATAAATTCATCAACTAACCGCTCAGGAACGTCCCGTTTCATTCTTACGTCACTTCTTCTCGAGTCTCTCCATCTTTGTCCGACTCCGGTTTGAACATAAAAGGCTAAAAGCTTTTGAAATTTCTAAATTGAAACAGATGAGCTCTTGAAGCTCCACCCTCTTTGTCAGCTCATTTGCATTTAAAGGGGCACACATTTTTAATAAAAAATTATTAGTGGGGTATTTTGAGCTTAAGCTTCACACACACACACACACACACACACACACACACACACACACACACACACACACACACACACACACACACACACACACACACACACACACACACACACACACACACACACACACACACACACACACACACACCGGGGACATCAGACTTATTTTACATCTTGTGAAAAGGGCATTATGGGACCCCTTGTTCCATGTGACGTACTTTTTGCGGGATAACGGCGTGATGGTTCTCCAGAATGAGTCTCTTTATGTGATGAGCCCAGAGTTTCTTCTCCTCCACGGTTCTGGCCTGTGAAAATGACAACATGATTAGACCAAACACAACAAAGCGCTTGCGTAGTGTGTGAGCTCATACACACCTGGACTGTGTGCGGCTGCTTCGGGTGCTTGTAATGCATCACGCTGAACCGAAGCGAATCTTTGGCACTTTCTATCAGCATTAGTGTGGAACACTGAACACAAGCAACACACGGTTACCAGTTACAATAACCTGTAGATCAGCTAACGAGATGCTGTGCAATTAATTAGACAGATAAACATCATGCATAAAACAGCAGCAGCAATATGATAAAAGATACTGATGCATTTGCATAATAAGAAGCATTACTAAAAATGTATTATTTCATTAAATAGGTCAAATATTGTACATTAATACAGAATTCAATCTGCTATTTTCTAAAAGCTCTGTTCAAAGCTCAACCAATCTGATGTTATTTTTTATAAAAACTCAATATAGAACCGATAATAGTTCAAATGAGGAAACAATATGTGGGAATGAAAGGAGGTGATGGTGGTGTAAATCAGGCTGGAGGGGTTTGGGAGATGTTGAAAAGCTAATTAATTAATTAAATCATAAAATAAAAAAATAAGTTAAAAATAAGTTTTAAAAAAATTACAATTATTTATAAATTATAAATGAAAAGAACAACAAAAAAGTAAATAAAAAAATGCTTACTAAAAATGAATAAAACAATTCAAATGTAAAAACAAGAAATCAATCATTTTCAAATAAAACACTAAAAATTCATAAATACAAATGTAAAATTAAAATCAATTAATTAAAAATGAAACAATCAAAATAAAACACTTAATAAAATGAACAAAATAAAGAAAATGTCAAAATTTAAATAAATGATTTTAAAATAAAAACAAATCAAAATAAAACACTTACTAAAAATGTATAATAAAAAATAATAATAATAATCAAAACAAGACTGTACTAAAAAAGATGAAATATTGAATTAAACATTTTAGGTCAAAGAGTTTCAGATAAAAAAAAAGAAGCTTGGTCTAAATAACACGGATGTTATGATCTACCGAGATATGAGTCTTGAAGACGTAATGTTCTCCTCTTTTCCTGGTGATGAGCAGCATCTTATCAAACAGGAAGAGGGTTCTCTCGTTCTTGGCCCGGTGGACGGGGAACGTTCCTTCCAGAACCAGCTCTCCGTAAGTGGTCAGATCAGGACCCTTCCAGTTGAGGAGCAGAGACTGGACCTCCTGCACGCAGAACAGAGTAGAGTTGAACAGAGTGGAGTAGAAACGAATAAAGTAGAACAGAGTAGAGTAGAGTAGAACAAAGTAGAGTAGAATAGAAGAGTAGAACAGAGCAGAGGAGAGTAGAGACGAATAAAGTAGAACAGAGTAGAGTAGAGTAGAACAAAGTAGAGTAGAATAGAAGAGTAGAACAGAGCAGAGGAGAGTAGAGATGAATAAAGTAGAACAGAGTAGAGTTGAACAGAATACAGTAGAAACGAATAAAGTAGATCAGAATAAAGTAGAAACGAATAAAGTAGAGCAGAATAGAAGAGTTGAGTAGAGTTGAACAGAATAGAGTAGAGACGAATAAAGTAGAACAGAATAGAGAAGAATAAAGTAGAACAGAACAGAGAAGAACAGAGTAAAATAAAATAGAACAGAATAGAGTAGAACAAAGTAGAGAAGACTAGAGTAGAGTATAATAGAGTAGAGGATAATAAAATAAAGTAGAGTAGAATAGTATAAAGTACAGCAGAATAGAATAGAATAATAGACCAGAGTAGAATAGAATAAAGTAGGGTAGAGTAAAATAGAAATAAAGTAGAGTAGAGTTAAGAATAGAATAAAGTAGAATAGAAAAAAATAGAGCAGAGTAGAATAGAATAAAGTAGTGTAGAGTAAAATAGAAATAAAGTAGAGTAGAGTTAAGAATAGAATAAAGTAGAATAGAAAAAAATTGAGCAGAGTAGAATAGAATAAAGTAGAGTAGAATAGAAGAGTAGAACAGAGCAGAAGAGAGTAGAGACGAATAAAGTAGAACAGAATAGAGTAAAATAAAATAGAACAGATTAGAGTGGAACAAAGTAGAATAAAGTAGAATAGAATAGAATAAAGTAGAGAAGAATAGAGTAGAGTATAATAGAGTAGAGGATAATAAAATAAAGTAGAGTAGAATAGTATAAAGTACAGCAGAACAGAATAGAATAAAGTAGAATAGAATAGAAAAATAGACCAGAGTAGAATAGAATAAAGTAGGGTAGAGTAAAATAGAAATAAAGTATAGTAGAGTTAAGAATAGAATAAAGTAGAATAGAAAAAAATAGAGCAGAGTAGAATAGAATAAAGTAGGGTAGAGTAGAATAGAAATAAAGTAGAGTATAATAGAGTAGAATAAAGTAAAGTAGAGTTAGAATAGAATAAAGTAGAGTAGAATAGAAAAAATAGAGCAGAGTATAACAGAGTAAAGTAGAATAGAATAGAATAAGAATATAATATAATAAAGTAGAGTAGAATAGAACACAATAGAGTTAAGTAGAAAAGAATCATTTAATGCTACACAATTGGGTGGAGCTGAATATTTTTCCATGACTTTCATGCAACATCACCATGAAGTTGTAACAGAATCAGTGTGTGTGGAGTAACCCGAGGTTGAGTATTTAAGCTCTACACACACGTTGATCAAAGGCTCAATAGTGTCAGTTCTTGGCTCGTTTTGTGCAGTAATCAGTGATCTTTAACCACCCGTACAGGATCATAACAACAACAACGTGTGCTGACCCAGATCCATTAATGAACACATCCTCCAGATCATGAGTCATGACTTCATTTTAGGATTAATCAAAGAGTATGATAATCTGTTTGCATGACACTCATCAACATTGTAAATCGAATATAGTCATATTCCGTCCGTTAATGCGACATGAGGGTATATAATAATCAAGATCACGTCATAAGAGGCAACAATATTACTCTCTTACTCCATTGATACTGTGACTAATTAATGCTAATCATTTCCTGCATTAAAAACCCTTTGACAAAAACACTGGACAGGTCGGTGTTATTTTAGTATCACTGAGATGCTACGATAGTTTTTATTAATATTTTGTATGAGTTTTTACACTTTTAGTTAAGTTTTTGTAATTTTGTTGTGTATTTTTGCCTATTCAAATTATCAAAATAAAACATTTACAAAAAAAAAAGACGTTTTATTTGTTTACCTGCAATTAATCTACAATAGTTTTTATTAATTTTTATTTCAGTTTGAGTTATTTTAGAAATTTTGCATTGGCAACTAGCTGAAATAAAATAATTTTTTACATTTTATTTTATTTCAGTAAATGTAATGGATTTTTTTTTGTGTGAAATGGTCCAGACCTGAAGTCTCACTGCATGCTCGTGTTTCCTCTTCATGTCGTTGATGTACCAGGCGACCCCCGTCATGCTGTCTATGGCCTCGATCACCACATCATACCCGTCCTCCTCACGCTCAAAGTGTTTGGCAATTTCCTTTAGAAGAGCAGAAACACAGTCAGAAAGAAGAGAGCTACTGTGAAACATCTGAGCACACACAGATCTCAGGACGACTGCTATAAACCCTGAAGATGAGAGGACAAACAACCAAGATATTGCAACTAAAGACATTTGAACATGCAATCAAATTAGCTAATTTGCATAATTAATCAGTGTAAATCTGTGTGTCCCAATCTCGGGTTTGAGATTATGAAAAGTTAGTACTTAATTAAATAATAAAAATGGAAAATTCAGATACATAACTAGTTTTAAAATAAAACAATAAAAATAAATGGAAATATTTAATTTCTTTATCTGCATGTCACGTGACCATTGACCGACATCAGAGAACGGTGAACATGCAAATGTGTTTTTAAATTAGTGAAATATTAACTTAAAATCTTTAATGAAAATCTCAAAGTTTTCTTATGGTGCAACTAACTGTTATTTTTTCAATTCATTTTTATATTTTCTGTTTTCATTTAAATTGTATTTTATTTTTAGCCAATTTGCAGTGTGTTTTCGTCATTTCTATTTTGTTTAAACATGTCTGTTTATGTTCATTTTTATTTCATTTTTGCTTTTGCTATATCGTAATTAAGTTAAACTAAATGAAAATGAGAAACGTTGCCTTGGAAACTAGCTGAAATAAAATAACTTACATTTTTTATCTGTTAATGTTTAGTTTAAGAAACAAACATAATTCATTTAGTTTTAGTGAACTTTAATAACCCTGGTAAATAGGACCATGCAGGCAGGGAAATTATATTAACTAATAATCACGAACAGAAAGTCGGAAATTCATTGTTTAATCAAATTTTGATGTATAAAATAAAGCCCGACACAACATCATTTCCTACTGAATATTCCCACTACATTATAATGCATTAGAAATGCCAATTTATGCTGTTCGGGAGGAGAGTGAAAGACAGTGATGTCAGCAACACAGGCTGATTGGTCCGTTACCAATTAGCAAGCAATCACATCATTACCGCATGGCCCAAGCTGATTGGCCAAGGCTTGCTCAACATTTAACCCTCTGGTGCGCTATTGGGTGTCGGTCAAAAATGACCGACTTTTAATTTTGTTTTTGTCAAAGAAATGAATGTACTATATTTTAGTTTGATCATGTTTTTTATTTAATATTTTGTATTTTTAAGTTTTTTTTTATACTTAATTATATTTACGCTGCATTTATAATCCATTTATTCACTTTTTGAGCGTAGACCTGAAAATTAAATTTCCAACTTGAACTGTGGTAAATCTTGAATGCATTGGAGCAACAGAATTAAGTTTGATCTCTTTTCAAAGACGACACTTGGCGGATTATTGCTGAAGTGAAATGTTATGAAAACTGCACAAAAACACTATTTTCAGTTTTTATATGAAATATATATTTTCAAAATCACGTTTTACTCTAAAAACTCCAAGAAAATCAAGCGATAAATCTAAACAAGTTCAAAATTTGAGCTTGATATCTCAAAAACTTAGCTTTCAGTGAGAGTGTGTCGGCTGCAGTACCAAACGCTTCCACTAGAGGAAATTCGTCTCCCATTCATTTCCAATATCCTCATTTTTGACCATGAGGAGCACGAGTGTGACTATTTTCTACAGGACCCATTTAACCTTTTCGAATCATGTCCATTATTTTGTGTGTGTGTGTGTTCACACAGAAAGTGCCAAAACCTTTACCAAATGAAGTAAAAAAACTAAATAAAAAAAACTAAAAATTGTCAGACTGAAGAGCACCCAGGTTCATTGTTGTGCTGTATTGTAGTCCTGCAGTGCTATAAGGGGCTGTTTACACCTGTTTTCTCAGATCGGATAGCTATCTGATTTATCAAACCGATTCCATTTACACCTGGTCTCATAAATGTGTTTTCGCAAAACGGATATAAATCCGATCTTCAATTCCCGCGCTATATGCAGATTTAATGGAGAGCACATCATCGAAAGTAACAGATATGAGCTGCATTTTATAGATCATCAGCTAATTTCAAAATCAAAGACAGCAATAAGAGAAAGCGTTACCAGAACTGGTAAGATAATTTAGTTTCTTTACTTTTAATGATGATGATTGCGTGTTAAACGTCTGCGACTTACTTTCACTTTGCGATAGTTTGCACGTTGGCTTCATGATAGATGCTCAGCTGTTGCAGTAGCGCTGGCTATAACATGACATATAGCCTATAACACGCTCTCACACGTTTATTTTTTAGCATTGTTGGGTGGAGTAAAATTTACATATGTGGTTTCAACAACCAGATGCATTTACACTCGTCCAGTTTCGTCCTCCTGATGTGGTTTGAGCGATCAGATTCAAATCCGTTTCGGAGGGCATTCAACACCTGGTCTTTCCACGATCGGATAGCTATCCAATCACAGAAAACGCATGAAGTAGCCAGGTGTAAACAGCCCCCAAGAGTTCCTCTGAACCCCTCCACCTCCCCCTGCCTAGATCTGCTACAGGATTTATGTACCTCTATATATGCAGCAGCGTGTCTGTGTTTCTATTAGCCGTACCTGAAGCAGCAGGTGGTATTTCAGGATCCTCTGAACCGGTTTGAGCAGGTAAGAACCCAAAGGAAGAGAGCGCTTGAGCGACGCCTGTCGATCCCTGAAGAACTTGGCCAGAGTTTTATTCCTCAGACAGTCTGTCAACACCGCCACTGAACTACAGACAGAGAACGGACACTTTAGCCTGTGAAGAGACTGATTGCTGGCTTCGTGCATCAACAATCATGTTGAAAATTAGCCTCTGATGCATTAATTACTATTTTGCTTGTTTGCTAGAGGCACATTTGGTCCATTTTTTTTATCAGTCATTGAATCTATGTTAATACATTAACATACACTGACTTAAATGTATTGTGGGTGTGTGTCAAAGGTCATCACCCCGGTGGTTTGCATGTAACATCACACTTTGATGAAAAAAGACTTTTAACGACTATTTTGCATAATTCATAATCAGTGTAAAGATTCTGTAAAAATTGGGGTTCATGAGTTGATAAAAAGCTAATAATTAAATTAGGGATGCACGATATATCGGCCACCATATCGGTATCGGCCGATATAGGTTCATTTTTAATGTTATCGTTATGGGCCCAATAAAAAAACATTACAGCTGATAAATAATGTATGATGTCCTTCAGCTGAGACTCTTCAGATGCGCACTCTTCAACATGATGCTTTTGAATTGCATGAAATATTATTGGAATCACTTCAAAAAAGGAAAATACAGTTCAGTGCGACACAAGTCTGTCATATCGGCTACATAAAATTATAATGAGAACATTATTATTGTGTGTTTGGGACATAGGTTTCAATGGTGAGACTTTTGTTTCTGCAAACAGGCTCTCAAAAATTTATATAAAAATTAGGATTTAGATTTATCGGCTTTCAGATAAAACAAATTATCGGTATCGGGCAAAATTTTCATAACGGTGCGTCCCTAAATTAAATGCTAAAATTTATAACAATAAATAAACAATAAAAGTTAAACACTCCCTAAATGCGTTTACCTGCGACATAAGAGAATTTTGAATATCCAAATATGTTAATTTATTAAATTGTTAACTTAAAATCTCAGTGACCTAACAAAAATTTTAGTTAAAGCTGACAAAAAAAATAATAATGGCAAATTCCTGTTATAAATGAAGAAAATGTTTCCTTTTATAGTCTTTCATGAAAATCAACCAACTTTCTTATGGTGTTATTTTAGTGTCACTGAGATAATATTACAGTTTTGCTAGTATAGTTATGTGTCAAAAGTCATCACCCCCTGGTGGTTTGCATGCAACAACACGCAGCGGATGTCATGCATTGCATTGTCAAGGGTTAAATACAACAAGTGCATGAGATATTACATCTAAACAGTCATAGGAGTCTGAAATTAGTGTGGCGACATCCTAAAACAAACAACCCAACCCAAACGGGACACGTTCTGCCTCCCAGCAGGCTCATGTCACTCACACTGTCTGTCTGATGTGGTTCATGAAGGACGTTATTGACTCAGAGGAATCATCTGTCACATGCATCAGCGCCGACACACACCGGAGGCACAAACACACTGATTTAACTCCGCGCTTTACTTACTTAGGGTAGTTTGTACAGTACTGCGTGTAGATCTGGAAATAGTTGCTCTGCAAGTGAAATGCGAGAAGTTCAATCAGTATTGTAAAGGAATATGAATATTTAGTTGTATTTTGTACTTAGTACCTTGTCCACAAAGCAGCGGGCAATGGCCACGGGATCGTTGGCACACATGTCTAACGACTGCAATAACTCACTGGAAAAAAGAAAACATAAAATTTAGCATTTTATTATGGTGACTTATTGACCATTATAACCTAACAATCATGAAAACAAGAGTTTCTTGATGATAGTGATAAATAAAGGTTTCACAAATGGCAATGTTTGACTGTAAATGTGTAACACTTTACAATAAGGGTTGCATTTAATAACATTAGTGTACATGAACTAACAACAAACTTATTGTAAAGTGCTCACAATACAGGTGAAACTCGAAAAATTAGAATATGGTGCAAAAGTTAATTTATTTCAGTAATTCAACTTAAAAGGTGAAACTAATATATTATATAGACTCATTACATGCAAAGTGAGATATTTCAAGCCTTTATTTGTTATAATTTTAAAATTTATGAAAACCCCAATTCAAAATTAGAATATTGTGAAAAGTTTTCATAAGCTGTAAGCCATAATCATCAAAATTATAACAAATAAAGGCTTGAAATGTCTCACTTTGCATGTAATGAGTCTATATAATATATTAGTTTCAGCTTTAAGTTGTAAATGTTGAGGCTTAACTTGTGATGAACACAATATTTAATGGGATATAAATGATCAAGCGAGATGTAAATTAAACATGCATTTGGTTATGAGTGATGATAACCAACACATCTGAAGGTTCACACAAAGGGGAAGTCTGGAAATGCAAATCTCACACACGTAGTAACACACTCGCCCAGATAAACGGTTCGCTTCAGTTTTTGGTCTCGCTGTCAGATATGATCTTCTGATGCATGCTGGGATGAGTGTGTATTGTACATCTTTGATGCATGTAAATTTACAGAACAGAAGCTGTTTAAAATCAAGCGTTTTAAAGTTCATTTGTATTAATAATTAAAAAAAAGATGAGCAAAAAATGTGATGGCTGATGGTTTAAACTACAGATTTAGACTATTAAATATAAAAACTATTTAAACTGAGTTGACGAACAAAATGACTAAATAAAGTGAGCAAATATTTTAACATTACAAATATTTGCTTTTTTTGCTATTTAAATACAAATGGAACAAAAACACTTTTGGTCTATGCTTATACACATTTTATATACATATATACACAATTTTTTTTTTTTTTTAAATAAATACAACAATAATTATAACAACAGTTATATTAAAACATAATAATATTTTACTAGTATTTACTGTATTTAAAATATAAATGGTCAGTATACAAATTTTGTTTTAAATACAAATAAAACAGTTCTATGCCGATACTTTTTTTTTTTATAATTTAAAAAATAAAAATAAATACAATTATTAATAAATCATGAAATGTGTGTAATATTAAATATTATAATTACAAAATTAAAACAAATAAAAATTAAATAATTTAAATAATAATTTAATAAATGAAATGATTATAATAATAAAACAAATCATTGTAATAAAATAAGTACAATAATAATTATAATAGCAATTATATTAAACATTTTTATCAATCCATTTACTCTAAATAAAAAAATTAGCTTTTGGTCAATGCTGATATAAATTAAATATTATAAAATAAATAATCATTTATAAATAAAATCATAAAAAACAAATTATGCATAATATATTAAATATAATTACAAACAATTAAATAATGATATAAATAATTATATTAGGATAAAACTTTTTTTTTTTTTTACCAATATATAGTACATTTTCAGGATCCTCAGTAATATTATGTTTTAGCAACTAGAAGTAAACAAACACTTTTTCAAAACCCAAACTGGACATTTAAATGCATTAAAGACCTAAAGTACAGATCCGACACGAGCTCATGCGTATCTACAGAGCAACCGTTCAAACGTGCGCGTGAAGAGCATGCATGTGCACCGATGTTGACCCAAACGTTTATTTACGTCCCGCATCTGAAGCCAGAGAGCATCTGACGCTCCTTCCTCACGAATACATAAACACAGCACATCAGTCCTGAATAAATCCACTGATTGTGTCTGAACATGCGTTTGCAAGTATGGTTTAGTTATCAACTCTAAATGACATTACATGCATTAGGAAAGTTTTCATCTCTGCGGAAATCATTTTAATAATATACATTTTTATAGATTTAGAATGTACATTTAAATATTTTTTTATGACCCAATACTGACTTGACACTGCTGTACTCTGATATAGGTGTGCATTGCATAACAGTTAGTCCTCATGGTTGAATCTTACCTGTTGAACTCGTAAATGTGTTCAATATTCCCGAACAGCGAACACACTTGTTCTGGTTTGATGGGAAGGTTCCTGGTGTCTATGATGTGCACAAGATAATCCTGCAAATTGGAAAAAAAGAGCATAGATATTATTTCAGACTCAACCAATGACAAACTATTATCCATGTTGACTGGTACTGTGATGCTTCCAGCGGCTCAGCAGGGGGCGCTAGAGAACTGAAGGAAACCTGCATATGAAAACACTTTTACTTGCAAATGAGCTGGTCTTCTAAAGCACATAAATGATGTCATACAAGAATAATCAAAACACTTCATCACAATAAGGATATCTATTCTGTTTCTTGGTTTTGCATACAAATGGTAGTATGGTGTTATTTTCTGATGTATCATTGACTACAATGCAAATATCATAGTATATGAACATTATATGAGTATCAGTATCATGGTATTGCTAACTGAGACGTCGCTGTACCATGGTAATGCCACAGTACTTCTTTATAAGGTTAGCTGACTGATATCCAAAAACTAAAGTTGTGCTCAACACTAGTGACAACAAACACAGACACACAAAATAATTGCAATGCATTGATTTAATGAAATTTAAAAAATGAAATCAGATTTTTTTGCATTATAGCAATGAGAAGAGAACTGCATGAAATTCGTCATAATGAAAAAAGGGCCCCATTATGCTATTCTAAAGACTCCTAATTTAGTTTTACTAGAGTCTCCCACAACAGGTTCACATACAAAACACTTTAATTTTGTCATAATCTCCCCTGCAGCATCAGCTCGTTTCTCTCAGTGTCTGAAACGCTTCGATCAAGGACTCAGTCTCTCTAAGCTCCGCCTCTCTGAGAGCTGCTCTGCTCTGATTGGTCAGAACGCTCATTATCATATCTGAATCTCAGCTCTTGACACACAGTGATACGAACAGTAACGATGGCGTGGGTTTTACCGTTTTAGGACTTGCTTTGTCAGCAGAAAACAGCGTCTTCTCGACATGAACAACACGAACCAAACTCTCCCAGTCTCAGATACACTAGCAGGGCCTGAATTGCGTTTTGGAAAATGGGGGTTGGGGGGGGGGGGGGGATCCCCTCTTAGATGATTCTCATGGGGGGGATTTTTTTTGTTTGAGGGGGAGAAAGGGGGGGGGGGGGGGGGGGGCATTTTTTTCCAAACAAAATTATTACATTTATCTTGCCTAAATGTTTGCGCTCATTGCATTTTTACAATGGGGTAATATTGTTGTTAAGAATTTACACATCACAAGGAAGCTTGATTTAAATTGTTTAGTTAAATTGAAAAAAGTAGCACAAATAAATACAATGGAATAAAGATACAAATAAAGATAATTAAAGAGAAAAGTTTTGAATAGGTCTAACACTAGTATTCATATACAGACGCTGAATAAAGTAATCAAATGGAAAATAACAGTATTTTAGTCCTGAATAAATTAAATACATAGGCTATTAATCCTGATTCCTTTAACTTAAAGCCATCTTTTGTTGTTTTGACAACAAAATTAATGACAGACACATATGGCTGCCGTCACTTTAAGAGCTAGTGCACGGATCCTGTGTTCATTATACTGGCATGCGTTTTATGCTTAGGCCTATTAAAGACAAAACCGACTATGTTTAGAGTATAGCCTACTCACAAAGACCGAAATTGACAATTTTGCGTGTTAAAGCAATATAATCCGCGAAAAATAGTTACTGGCCAGCTGTTTTTGAGGCGGATTTTCTATGAATGTGCGCATAGAAAATAATCTCTCAGAGAGCGCGCGAGCACTGATTAGTTTAAAATCGCTTGAATGTTTAAACTGGTAAGACTTAAAAAGACTTCAGTCACGATGCACTGCTGGCCCGATTGTGCAAGTGAATATTCCGTCATGTCCCGACCTTACAGTCTATGGTCCCGACTCCAAAACGCGAGTGTGTATTATCGCCGCAGCGTTGGATGCCTGCCTTGCACAACACATTATGAGAGAAGAGATAGAAGACGCCGCACCGCTGAACACTCACGCTGTGTGTGACATTGCGTCTGGAAGATAGTTGTTAAAAGAATGATTTTATTTTATTATCTGTGTGGATTACGATTCCGGGAATTTCCCGCATTATAAATGGGAGACCTGCGGGAATGATTAGAATTATGCGCAAAAATACCCGCGCCGAAATTCGAGCCCTGACTAGTGTTTGAGGGCGGAGCCAAGAGACGCTGTTCAGCCAATCAGGTGACATTATGCAAATTAGTAACAAACCTGCAGGTTCAGCAACTTTGCAGAGCTTTTACATTCACAAACAGCTCTATTACACTCTACACGAAAGGTCATATCCGGAAAAAAAAACACAATGGGGCACTTTTATTATTAGGGCCCAAGCCCAAAGGGCGAAGGCCCTATTGTTTTCCTTAGGATTATTTATTATTATTATTATTATTATTATTCTTATTATTTTTCTGCTACCTTTTGGACACTTTTGGAGGCCTTAACATGCTCAAAAACTCCTGAAACTTTGCACACATGTCAGAACCCGCGGCCATCAGGGCCGGGCTGAAGATGGTACCCGGGCGTGGCAGGGGGGCTCGACAGCGCCCCCTGGAACGGGGTCCGAAAACATGGTCCATAAATCAAACACGCTTGCATGTAATAATATGAAACTCGGTACACATGTAGATCTCCTCGTTTCATATATACTTCACACTCTTACTTTTTACCCCAGCCCAACAGGAAGTCGGCTATTTAGGGTTGTTGGTAAAACACACGCAATGGAATGTGAAATACTCCTCCTAGAGAATTCAAACAAACGGCACGAAACTCGGTCAGCATGAAGTCAAGACATTGAGGATGAAAGTTTGCGAGGGGATTTTTGATATCTCGAACGGTTTGGCCGTGGCGAGGAAACAAAATTATGGCGAGAAACGTGAAACAGGAAGTGTGTCATAACTACTGCATACATTAACTGATCTTGATGAAACTTCAACAGTGTGTTCGTTGTAAGAGCCCGATCACATGGATGTGACTATTGTGAGTCAAAGTTATAGCGCCACCAACTGGCAGCAGGAAGTGTGTCACTTCCTAAATGCTTTGAAATCACCCTCTTATTTTTACCCGATTTGCTTCAAACTTTATGTGTATAATGTAAACACACGGCAGATGTAGACCTGTGAAAGGATTATTGATATCTTAGATACTGTTGCCGTGGCAACACATCAAACTTTAATATTCTTGTTTGATGCTTTTGAGACTCTTAGCATGCTTGAAATTGCATGAAACTCGACAGACACAGGTATGCATATGGTTCAGATCAAGCCGGACAACTTTCTAATTAACTGTCATTAGCTCAGACCAAGAGGAAGTTAGATATTTTGGTTTGAATGTGGATGTTTCTGAGAATTTTCTCTCCCTCTCCCTCTGACAGAGAGAATGCACCCTGCCATTCGTGTGTGTCTGTGTCTGTGTCTGTGTCTGTGTCTGTGTGGGGAGGGGGGGAGGGGCTCTTTTAGTTTAAACACAAAATTATACATAGGGCCATACTGCCCTCTTGTGTCCAAAATTATATTTATATATACATTATACATATATTTGGTATGTGACTGAGGACCGAGAGCTTTTAAATACGGGACATTGATAATGGCCACGTGCAGAGCGCTCGAGGGAATTCCTATGGAAGTAGGAATGAACTAAAAAACGTTCGCTCTGTTCTGCTCGCTCGTCGCCATGGACGCGCACCATTATGAATGCCAGTGCAGCCGCATACTTTTTAGTGTCACTTTAAAATTAGTGCAATAACGGGGCCGATTGCTTGAATTGTGAGTTCAATAGTCTATTATTTTTCACGGAAAACACAACAACAAAAGAGTACAATGATAGATTCGCTTAAATAGGGGCTTTTACATAAAATAGCCTATTCCGTCATCATCTTTTCAGTCAGCTCTTCACTCTCGTGATTAATGAAATTTGACTCCTGTTGCTGATATTTGCTGCAACTTTCGTTCCGCTCACAATTTAGTAAGCAAACACGCTTCAAATGTGTTTTTATTTTATTTTTGTGTATATATATGTGTGTGTATATATATATATATATATATATATATATATATATATATATAGCTTA